GCTATCACGCCTGGCCTTTGTTTAGATTTTAATCCAGAAGGGTAAATCATTATTTAAATAGTGGGGTGCAGCTGTTCACAAAAGCAAGAGGAGCGATTAATTCATTGAGAAGCTTCTGCCCCCTATGAGCCACTAGTCTGTATTTATTTATTTATTTATTTTTGAGACAGAGTCTTGCTCTGTCTCCAGGCTGGAGTGCAGTGGTGTGATCTTGGCTCACTGTAACATCTGCCTCTCGGGTTCCAGTGATTCTCCCACCTCAGCCTCTGAGTAGCTGTGATTACAGGCATAAACCACCACACCCAGCTAATTTTTTGCATTTTTTAGTAGAGATGGGGTTTCACGATGTCAGCCAGGCTGGTCTCAAACTCCTGGCCTCAAGTCAGGCCAAGTGCTGGGATTACAGGTGTAAGCCACCACACCTGGCTGATGCACTGGTCCTACCGTCTCACCGGCCCCTCGCTGTCCGCCATCCTGCATAAGGCCTGGAACACACACCCATCTACCACTGAGGCTGCAAGAAAGGGTTCAGGCTCCTGCTGACTGGGGACCTTCAACTGGGCTCTCCAGGAGCTGGGCTGGGCTGAGGAGCAAATCCACATGCTGGCACAGGAGAGGGAATATGGAGGCCATTTGTGACATCTCCATTATGCAAATAATGTGCTGATCTCAGGTGTTTTGGCTTAGTTTAGGTCAGGCGTCCCCAAACTATGGCCCGTGGGCCGCATGCAGCCCCCTGAGGCCATTTATCCAGCCCCCCTGCCGCACTTCAGGAAGGGGCACCTCTTTCACTGGTGGTCAGTGAGAGGAGCACAGTGTGTGGCGGCCCTCCAACGGTCTGAGGGACAGTGAACTGGCCCCCTGTGTAAAAAGTCTGGGGACGCCTGGTTTAGGTTGTAAAAGTGGAAGTGTTGGGTCAAAAGCTATCAGAGATCTAAAACTGACCATGTTGGCCAGGCGCGGTGGCTCAAGCCTGTAATCTCAGCACTTTGGGAGGCCGAGGCGGGTGGATCATGAGGTCAAGAGATCGAGACCATCCTGGTCAACAAGGTGAAACCCCGTCTCTACAAAAATTTAGCTGGGCATGGTGGCGCGTGCCTGTAATCCCAGCTACTCAGGAGGCTGAGGCAGGAGAATTGCCTGAGCCCAGGAGGCGGAGGTTGCGGTGAGCCGAGATCGCGCCATTGCACTCCAGCCTGGGTAACAAGAGCGAAACTCTGTCTCAAAAAAAAAAAAAAAAAAAACTGACCATGTTACTGCCACCCCCCGAACTCTTCAGTGGCTGCTCTAGAGCTTTTGGGGTAAACTTCAGGCTCCTTGGTCTGTCCCATGGGGTTCTTCACCGTTGGCCTCTGCTGGGCTTTCCTGCCATTGCCCATGGCTCTCTGCCCCTGACACATGGGATTTCTTTGTCCCCCTTTGCTGAACTGCTGTCAGCCTGCCCGCTGGGTAAGGGTCTGTTGGTCTGTAGTAGAGGTAGCTCATGCTTCGGACCCTTTCATTTCCACTTAAACGTCCCACCTCTGTGGTCCTGTCTGGAGGCCCAGGGTGGGATCCTGAAGAAGATGGTGTCAGGCACCCCACTCAGCCACAGGCAAGGGCCCCGCTGCGGTTGGGGGGCCTCTCATCATGCCTTTCAAAGTTTCCCCATTGGCTCCATCTCCTGGCCTAGGGCCCCAGGCCCAACCTGCGTCCTGGAGAGTGAAAATGGAGCTCTTTTCACGAAGACTCTGTGCAGTGGGCTGTGGGGATGGAGGGTGGCATGATAGGGAGTGAGGCCTGCTTTTCTCTACTGCTGGGTACGAGGCATGGCTTCATCAGTGGGGCACATGGGGGTGTGGGCAGGTGCAGGTGGGGAGCTGGGCCATGGCAGATTTTGTCTTGAGCATGAATGAGACAGTGCGGGGTCCTCCTGAAACACCAGGGGATACAAGAGAGCTCAGGGACCTGCAAAAGAGGAGGGGGCAGGAGCAGAGGAAAAATGCATGTCGTCATGAGTATGACAATGGGAAGCCCAGGTGGCCAGCAGAAGCCCCTCTGCTCCTCAGCGTGGTTAGAAGCGGAGTTGTGGAGGCGATGGACCCTGCAAGCCTGGCCTTCCCATGCTGTTGTCCATGAGCAGTTGCTCAGCCTTTCTGAGCCTCTGTTTCCCCACTTGTCAAGGGAGTCGGTGACAGCACCTACCTGTCAGGGTTTGTTAGGCTGTAGGTGAAGTGCTGGCCTGAGTCTCGGTGTTGTGGGGAAGCATTTGAGTTTCCGGGTGTGAAGTATGAGCTTCCAGCAGGGGCACATCCCAACTGGGGCTCTTGACTGAGAACCCAGCTGCTCACCCCCTTGACCCACGGGTGGGTGAGTCAGCGGTCGGGAGCTAGAAACGGGAGGGGATTGCTTGGAGGGCGCTGTGGGTGCATGGGACACTTCCGAGGGGTGAGGGGGTTGCCCCTCCTGGAAAACCTCTCAGGAGCCCTGCAGGTTGGGAGATGCAGAGGCCTGAGATCTGAGGCCAGCTTGAGGGATCTGAAGATGAGGGGCCTTGTCAATGTTGGTTCATGTGTCCCTGAGTAGTTAGCGAAGGGGACTGTGACAGTACCTGTGACCCTTTGAGGTTATCTGGGGCTCTGCTCTGGGTGGCTGCGTGGGTTTCGCAGAGGGCTGGATGTGGCTGGGTTCCCAGACTAAGTTGCTGGCCATGATGGAGATGCCTGCTGTGGTCTAATGCTGGTGTCCCCCAGTTCTTGTGTTGAAACTGAACCCCCAATGTGAGGGTCTGAAGAGGTGGGGCCTTTTGGGAAGTGGTTAAGTCGTGCGGGTTCTGCCCTTCTGAATGGGCTTAGTGCCTTCATAAGAGGGGCTGGAGGCAGCTGCACACCCCTTCCATGTGAGGGCACACAGATGGCATCACCTGTGAGGGGCCAGACGCTGAATCCACCGGTGCCTTGATCTTGGACTTCCCAGTCCCCGGCGCTGTGAGCAATGCATTCTCATTGTTTATAAATTACCCGGCCTCCGGTATTCTGTTCCAGTAGCTGGAACCAAGACACCATTTCCCAAGGAACTGCTTAGGGTGGGGGACAGTCCCCAGTGATGCAGTGATTGAGGGCAGGGGTTTCAGAGAAACTCTTGGGACCACCATGTGAGAATGAATTGATTCAGAACCCCAGTCAGTCCCAGGGCCTCTGAGGCAAGCCCCAGTCAGGGAAGAATCTTTGGGTCTGCAGGCTCCACCCCACCCCAGCTCCCTCCCTGGAGAAGAAACCTAGGTGCTGAAGGAGAACCCATGGCCAGGCCCTGCCTGGCGCGTGCTGTTCGGCTGAGCGGTATTAGGGGTTCGCATCACTTGGTGCCATGCCGAGGTGAGGGGCATCAGTCCTGGGCACCACCTGTGCCGCTAACACTTGCCCCACAGGCACAGGCCCTGCCCTGTGGAGCCCCTGGGGGCCATCCCAGCTGGCTGGACATGACACTGGAGCCAGGACTACAGAAGGACAAAAGACACCTCTTCAGGAAAGGGCCATGAGCCCCAAATGAGGCCAAGGGGCAGACCGTGTGGCTGTGAGCAAGGCCTTGCTGGGCTCCGAGGCTGTACCTCAAGAAAGCACACTGTGCTGCCTGGGGTGTCTGGGCAGGTCCTCTGAGGGAGCTCACGCCCTCTGGCCGCACCAGGGCCTGGCACCCAGCAGCTGCTCGGAGGGGTCCAGAGCTGGGCTGAGGGCCCCTTGGGGGATCCTGAGGCATAAATGTGCTCAGCCCGAGCTCCCAGCCTTGCCTTCTCCACAGGGCTGGCTGCCTCCTTCCCTCCGGCCCCATAGACTCCCCTGCCGGAGTTGGGCACACTCAGCTTCACCTGGCCATCCTCCTGATACCCATCCTGTGCTGGGCCACTGGGGGCTGCTATCAGGAATCGTTTCTGGGAGATGGGCCCAGCATCTGAGGCTGTAGCTCTGACTGGATTGACAAGACAGGGAACAGCATGTCAGGCAGTGGGAACAGCATGCCGGTGTGGCCAGGAGGCAGGGATGGTCCCTGCTGACCTCTGGACAGGGCTTTTCTAATATTACCCAAGCAGCGCCAGGGACTGAGGGTATCAGGTAGGGACAGGGTGAGAAGGTGGGTCTAGCCAGCTCCTGGAACCCCCAAAATGCCTCAGGTTTGGCCCCCAGGGCTCTGCCCAGGCCCTGCGGGAACCCTGCCCCAACCTCTCCACACTACTTGCCTTCCCCAGGGTCTCAGATGGAAGGGGTGGGCTGGGATGGTGCAGGTCGGATTCTGCTTAGCCCTGAAGTGCAGGCCCCGCTGCCTCTGCTGGATCCTTTTTGGGACCTTGCTATGGTCCTGGCTCACCAGGCAGAATCCCTGAGTCGGCTGAGGCACCAGGGCTGCTGGTGGCCCTGCCTCTGCCTGTTCCCCAGATAGGACCCAAGTCCAGGTCAACCGAGTCTGGTACTGAGTGGGACCCCACCGCTGAGGGGCCTGACATGGCCTGGAACTGGCCAGGGTAGGTCAGTGTACCCTAGTGCCCCCCACCCAGCCCATCCACCACCCAGCAGGCCCTGACCAGGAAAGGGGGTGTACATTGTACTCTCTGACTTCTTGGCTAGATGACCTTGTCATGTGTCAGGTGGGGTCACAGGTGTTCCCTGGCCCACTGCCTGCAGGCTCAGTTCGTCAGGGGCTGGAAACAGACTGGGTGGGGCTGTGGGAGGGGCCTGCTGGTGGCCCGACGGGGTTTCGTTGGCTTCTTCATGCTGTGCTCTGCACAAGGGGCCCCAGGCACAGGCAAGACTGTGGGTATCCCTCACCAAAGGTTAACTGAGCATCCACCACTCACCAGGCTCTGTGAGCAAGACATGGGGTCTCTGGATGGGAAATGGACACCGGGTCCCATGCTGAGCCGTGGCTACGGCATTCCCAGAGCTGAGTTAAAACCTGCCAGGCATCCTGGCCAAAGGTCATATCGGGCCGGTGGCGGGTCACAGGCATGGGTGGACATGGATAAGCAGGGCGTATGGGTGTGTTTATAGCAACTAAAGTTTACAGGGGGCTGGGCTTTATAGCAACAAAAGTTTATAGCAGGACTGCCGTGTACACACTGTACTCCATGTATCCAGTGTCCTGCTGACCCGTTCCACAGCTGTCACTGGAAAGCTATCCCCTGGGGCTGGGGGTACCTGGGGCTGCAGAGACAAGCTCATCGGCAGGGCAGGGCAAGGGCCCATGGGCAGAATGGCAGTGGCTGCCGGTGGACTCGGAGCTGGCACAGGCATCTCACATGGCACCGTGATGCCTGCTATGGTTGCAGAAGTTCCCAAGCCACCTGATAACAGACTGTGGGTATTGGCCAAAGTGGTATGTCACTGAGCAAGGTCTTGAGCTTGCAGTGGCCCGATCGTCTGAGGCAGTGCCGTGTCCTTGCCGAGGATGGACAGACTGACCAGTCACATGACCCCACGGTCCTGAAGGCAGGATGTCCCCAAGGCACGTGCTACCCACACGTCTGGAGGCCCTGGGCCCTGCCAGGGCTGAAGTCCCACAAAAGGTCTCCTGGGCCCATATGGCCATGTGGGGGCCACAGGGTTGGCGTTTGCAAAGTAGTGAGGCGCTCCCCTGCCTCTGCCCGCTGGGCCATCTGAGGCAGGGCTGTCGACGGCGTCTGCGGGCTCCATCTCTTCCTCCTCCCTCAGTTCAGCACTTTTCATGTCTTCCCCAAAATAGAAGATCTGCAGATTTAAGCATGTCAGGCAGCTGTGAGAGCCTGGAGCTCCCCATCCCGGTTAGACCGTTCTCCAGCACAGCCACCTTCTCAGTGCGCTGAGGGAGAGCCGGCCTCCTGCCCCAGAGGGGTGTTCTGCAAGTCCCTGTGGCTCAGCCCTCAATGTCCATTACTATGGATCATTTCTGACCGCCACTCGAACGTGTTAATATGCCAGGCAAGAAGGAGGTCGGGTGTGTGCCGCATTGTCTGACATAAAAATATGGACTGGGAGTCCCTGTCCCTGGGATGTGCATCTGGACTGCCCACAGAAGCAGCCACCAGCTCAGCCTCTTCTCCTCATCCCCATGACTGTGGCTTGATTCCACCCCCACCCCACTGTGGGCTGCCCAGGCTCCCAGGAAGCTGATGACCTGGGTATCTCTGAAGCCTCTCGCCCCTGACCTGGTCCCAAGCAGCCCTCAGGCCCCATCTCTGCACACTCACCTTAGAGATTTCCATCTCTCTTTTTCTGTTTGGTTCTCTGGGCTTTCACTTTCATAAGAAGCCAGATAAAGACCTAGACAGAAAATGAAGTGAAATTTCACAATTATGGTTGATAATAGCTTGTTCTACACGCAGAGCCTGACCTGCTTTTTGCTTTAAAATTAGACTTCTTGTTTGGGAATAAGTATAGACCCAATGTGGCTATAAGAAATAACGCAGAGATTCTGTGGACCCATCACCCACATTCCCCCGGTGGTAACCATGTGCAAAACTAGAGTAGTGTGTATCACAGCCAGGACACTGACGCCACACAGTTGGGACACAGAGCATTTCCATTCCACCAAGGGCTCAGTCACCAGAGACCCCATGTGCTGCCCTCTGACGGCCACACACACTCACCTCCCACCCAATCTCTTTCCTAAGCCCTGGCAACCACCAATCTGTTCTCCTTTCTGTATTTTATCATTTCAAGGATGTTCTATAAATGGGTCATATGGGATGTGATGCGATTGGCCTGCATCCCTGGGCACAGCTCTGGGGAATGTGTCCACGCTGCAGCGCACACCAGGCGCCGAAGAGCACGTGGTATGGACGGACCGCAGTTAGTTGAACCACTTGTCCTCTGAAGGACTTCCGGGGTGTTTCTAGTTTTTGGCTATAACAGATAGAGCTGCAATAAACATTTGTGTATGGGCTTTTGCTTTTATGTGAAACTCACTTCAAATGATGTATAAATACGTGAGTCTTCATTTCTCTAGAATTACTAACTGCCCAAGAATGCAACGGCGGGGTGTTATAATAGTGGCATATTTGGAATAAGAAGTTCTTTGTCTAGTCCTATATTCTGAGGATTATCTCTTGCTTCTCCCTGCTAAAAGTTGTACAGGCTTATGTTGTACATTTCAGTCTGTGATCCATGTTGAGCTAGTTATTTGTATAAGGTGTGAGGCTTGGGCTGGGGTTCATGTTTTATTCTGTGGATGTCTGGATGCTCCAGCATTGAAGGGCTAGCTTTCCTCTGTTGATTTTTTTTTTTTTTTGGTTAAAAATCACCTGATATATTTGTGTGGGTCTCCTTCTGGGTTCTCTGTTCTGTTCCATTGATCCATGCATCCATCCCTCCCATAATACTGTGCCGTCTTGATGACTGTAGCTATATAATATCAGCCTTAACATCAGGTAGACTCATTCCTCCCACTAATCCTTTTCAAGATTGTTTTAGCAATTATAGTTCATTTGCCTTCCATACAAATTTTAGGAGAATCTCATCTCTATCTTAGAAAGAGTCTTGCTGAGATTAGGATAGGAATTGCATTAAATCTGTACTTAAATTCTGGGAGGAGAATTAATACCTTTGCTATGCAGTCCTCCTGTTCATAAACATCCATTTACCTACGTCTTCCTTGATTTCTTTAATCAGCATTGAGTAATTTTTAGCGCACACATCCTGTGCATTCTTCGTTAGATTACACCTATGTATTTCATGTTTGAGGGATTAATTTTAGTTTCAGTGTGCACGTTTATTTTTCCTATGTAAAAACACAGTTGATTTTTGCATGTGTGTCTTGTATTCTGCAACCTTGCTAAAGACCCTTATTAGTTCTAGGAGTTTTTGTAGATTCCTTGGAATTTTTTTTTTCATCATCATCTGCAGTTAGGGACGGTGATAATCATTCTTCCTGATCTGTGTGCTATGTTCTGTTCTTGCCTTATTGAACTAACTAGATCTTCCATCACTGTGTTGACTAAGAGTGGGGAAGAGTGAACATCCTTTCCCGTTACTGGTCTTAGGAGGAATGAGATCTTCCACTGTTAAATATAAAGTTTGCAGAAGGGTTTCTGTAGATGCAACTTATCATGCTGATAAATTCCCTTCTATTGCAATTTGCTGAGAGTTTTCACCATAAACGTGTGTAGAAATTTGTCAAATGCCTTTTCTGCATTGATTAATATAATCGTGTCTTTTCTTCTTTAGCTGTTTAGTATAGTGAATTACACTGGTTGAATTTCAAAATTGAACAGCTTCCCATCCTTGGAATGAACCCACTTAGTCATGACGTATAATTATTTTTACATACTGCTGAGCTCTATTTGCTTATTTTGTTAAGGATTCTTGTGTCTATATTCATGAGGAATATTGGTCTGTATTTTCTTTTTTTTGGTACTGTCTTTGGTTTTAGTATCAGGGTAATACTGGTGCCATGGTTTGAATGTTTGTGCCCCTGAAAAATTCATTTTGAAAAATTGTAATCCCTAAAGCAACACTATTAATAGGTGGGATCTTTAGGAGGCGATTACACCATAAGGTTCCACCCTCACAGATGGGATTGGTGTCCTTATAAAAGGGCTGGAAGGAGCCAGTCTGGCCCCTTTTTGCCCATCTGCCATATGAGGACACAGCGCTTGCCCCTTCTGCTATGTGAGGACAGAGAGAGCAGCTTCTGGAACTGTAGGAAAGAATTTTTTTTTTTTTTTTTTGAGACGGAGTTTTGCTCTTGTTACCCAGGCTGGAGGGCAATGGCGCGATCTCGGCTCACCGCAACCTCCACCTCCTGGGTTCAGGCAATTCTCCTGCCTCAGCCTCCTGAGTAGCTGGGATTACAGGCACGCACCACCATGCCCAGCTATTTTTTTGTATTTTTAGTAGAGATGGGGTTTCACCATGTTGACCAGGATGGTCTCGATCTCTTGACCTTGTGATCCACCCGCCTCGGCCTCCCAAAGTGCTGGGATTACAGGCTTGAGCCACTGCACCGGGCAAGATTTTTTTTTTTTTTTAACTCAGTGGTAAGAAAATGTCTTTTGTTTATAAATTACCCAGTCTAAGGTACTTTGTTATGGCAGTTCAAACTGACTAAGACGACTGGCTTCATAAAATGAATCGGGAGGCTCCCTCCTCTTCCACTTTCTGGAAGAGATTGTGCAGAATTGGTGTTAATTCTTTAAGCGTTTGGTAGAAATCTCCAGTGTAATCATTTGAGCTTGGAGACTTCATTTTTGGGAGTTTTAAAATGATAAATTCAATTTATTTAACAGTTATAGGACTATTCAAATGATCTCTTTTATGTCAAATTGTGGTAATTTGTGTTTTTTGAGGAATTAATTCATGTCATTTAAATTGTCAAATTCATGTGTGGAGTTGTTTGTCATATTCCTTATTATCTTTTCAATATCTGTAGTCATTAGTGATATCCTGTTTTACTCCTGGTACAGTAGTCCCTGTTATCTGTGGGTGTTACAGTCTAAGTCTTCTGTGGCTGCCTGAAACTGCAGATAGTACAGAACCTTGCAGGTACTCGCCCTGGATCCCTTTTCCATCTTAACTAAGCACTCATCAGGCGATATGGCCATAACTTTTGCAGTTTGAGATTCGATGGCAAAACTAGCAAGAATTTCTTTCTTCAAAATTTCATGGATACGTTTGGTCTTACTGTAGATCTTAGCAATCTCAGCATACAATATTTTCCCCCTTAATTTGAGAACTTTCGCTTCATCTTTTTTAATTTTTATTTTTAGATTGATTCCTGGGTGGATCACCTCATCATTTAAAGGAAGCCCTTTATAGCTTCTCTTTGGCATATCTGAATTGCCTGCATCACTACTCATGTACTTTGGGGCCATTAAGAAGTAAAAGAGGCCGGGCACCGTGGCTCATGCCTGTAATCACAACACTTTGGGAGGCCGAGGCTGGCAGATCATTTGAGGTCAGGAGTTTGAGACCAGCCTGGCCAACATGGTGAAACCCTGTCTCTACCAAAAATACAAAAATTAACTGGGCATGGTGGCTCACACCTGTAATCCCAGCTACTTGGGTGGCTGAGGCAAGAGAATCACTTGAACCTGAAAGGCAGAGGCTGCAGTGACCTGAGATTGCACCACTGCACTCCAGCCTGGAGCCTGGGTGACAGAGACAAAAAAAAAAAACCAAAAAAAAAAAAAAAACAAGAGTAAAATAAGGGTTACCTGAACACAAGCACAGTGACACTGTGACAGTTGATCTGATAACTGAGATGGCTACTAAGTGACTAGATGGGCAGCACAAATACCCCACAAATCCTGGACAAAGGGATGATTCATGTCCCAGGAGGAATGAAGTGGGATGACGTGTAGTTTCATCACACTACTCAGAATGGTGCACAATTCACACCTTATGAATTGCTTATTTTTGGAATTTCCATTTAATACGTTCGGGTCACAGTTGACTGAGGATAAATACAGATGGGGGGGCTACCTTACTAGTAGTTTGTGTCTTTTCTTTTTTTTTGTCAAGAGATTCTTTGCTAGATGGTGGCAATTCTATTGTTCTTTTCAAAGAACCAGCCCTTTGATTAACTTTATTGTTTTACTGCTTACAGTTTCATGGATTTCTGCTCTTATTTCCTCCTTTCTGCTGGCTTTGAGTTTATTTTGCACCTCTTTTTCTAGATTCTTGATGTGGAAACTTAGATGATTGATTTGAAACTTTCCCTTTTTTCTAGTGTATGCATTTGGTGCTATAAAATTCCCTCTCAGTCCTGCTTTAGCTGTCCCACAAATTTGATTGTATTTTCAGTCCGTTCGATTATTTGTTTAATTTCCCTTGAGCCTCTCTGATCCATGGATTATTCAGAAGTGTGTCATTTGATTTCTAAATGTTTGAAGAGTTTTCTGTTTTCTGATGCTACTGACATAAAATTTAATCTCACTGTGGTTGAAGAACACAGTGTGTATGATTTCAATTACTTTAAATTTGTGGCAGCTTGTTTTATGGCTCAGGGTATGGTATATCTTGGTTTATATTCTGGGGACAATTTTTGTTGTTGTTGTTTGTTTGTTTGAGACCGAGTCTCACTCTGTCACCCAGGCTGGAGTGCAGTGGTGCGATCTTGGCTCACTGCAACCTCTGCTTCCTGGGTCCAGGTGATTCTCCTGCTTCAGCCTCCCAAATAGCTGGGACTACAGGCATGTGCCACCACACCCAGCTAATTTCTTTGTATTTTTAGTAGAGGTGGGGTTTCACCGTGTTAGCCAGGATGGTTTCAATCTCCTGACCTTGTGATCCGCCTGCCTTAGCCTCCCGAAGTGCTGAGATTACAGGTGTGAGCCACTGTGCCTGGCCTCCGGGGGCAATTTTTAAAAATGGTGTTCTACTGCACTTGTATGTATGTTTAGTAAACGTTGTATGTTCAGTAAATGTTGATTAGATCCTGTTGTTTGGTGATATTGTTGAGTTCATCAAACAGGATCTAATCAGCATTTACCGAACTTTGTCTTTGTTGATTTTCTGTCTAGTTGTTCTATCAAATGTTGAGAGAAGGGTGTTGATGTCTTCAATTGTAATTGTGGGTTATTTCTCCTTTCAGTTCGATCAGCCTCTGCTTAATGAATTTTTCAGCTGTGTTGTTTGGTGGATACATAGCTAGGATTGCTATATCTTGGAGACTGAACCTATTATTAATACATAATGTCCTTCTTTGTTTCTGGCAATTTTCTTTCTTCTAAGGTGTACTTTATCTGAAATTAATATTGCTATTCCTTTCTTCTAATTAATATTAGCATGCTTTATCTTTTCTTCTCTTTTTTACTTATCAAAATGTCTCTATCATTATATTTGAAGTGAGTTTTATTATAGATAGCATATAGTTGAATCATTAAAAAAAATTGACTTTGTCAATTTCTTTTACTTGGTATATTTAGACCATTTATATTTAATGTAATTATTTGTATGTTAGGACTTAAGTCTGTCTATTTTTTTTGTTTTCTTTTTGTTCTATGTTTTGTTCTCTGTTTTGTTTTTCTTGTCTTCCTGTCTACCTGACCAGCTTTTAGAATTGTATTTTGATTTATCTGTAATTAATTCTTGAAGGATGTTTTCACTGTATATAGGATTCTAGCTTGACAGTTCTTTTTTTTTTTTCAATTGAAAAATGTGCCACTGTCTTCTGGCCTCATGGTTTCTGATGAGAAATTTGACATTATTCAAACTGTTTTTTCCCCATGGGTAAAGTGTCATTTCTCTCTTAGTGCTTTCAATATTTTTAAAAAATTGTTTTAAAATTATTATTATTTTTGAGACAGAGTCTCACTCTGTCACCTGGGCTGGAGTGCAGTGGCATAATCTTGGCTCAATGCAACCTTTGCCTTCCAGGTTAAATCGATTTTTGTGCCTCAACCACCCAAGTAGTTGGGATTATAGGCATGTGCCACCACAGCTGGTTAAATTTTGTATTTGTAGTAGAGACGAGGTTTTGCCATGTTGGTCAGGCTGGTCTCAAACTCCTGGCCTCAACCAATCCACCTGCCACAGCTTCCCAAAGTGCTATGACAGTGTGAGCCATTGAGCCTGGACTCAAGATTTGTTTATTTTTCTTCAGTTTTCAGAAGTTTAACTACAATGGGTCTCAGTATGGGTTTCTTTAGTTTTTCCTTTTTGGGATCATTCAGCTTCTTGAATCTGCAGGTTTATGTTTTTTCCAACGCTGGGAACTTTTAGCCATTATTTCTGTGAGTACTTTTTCAGTCCTGCCCTCTTTTTCCTCTCCTCCACAGATCCCATACTCTGATGACATGAGTATGGGATCTTTGGTTATAATCCCACAGGTCCCTGAAACTATGTTTCAGTCTATTTTCTCCCTGTTGTTAAGATTGTATAATTTCTATTGTCCTATCTTTCAGTTCAAGGATTTTTTTCTTTCTTCTTTCTTCTGCTGTTAAACTCATTCACTCAGTTTTCCAACTCAATTATTGTATTTTTCAGTTCTAAAACTCCAACTCCCATTGGCTCTTCCTTACAGCTTCTGGTTTTGCTGTTGTGGTTTTTTTCTGAGACTTTCTATATTTTCATTTGCTTCAATGAGATTCAAGGCTAATTGCCAGTGGGCCCTGCCAGGGAAGCTTGGAGCTGAGGCAAGGGCCAGGTTGTCGCCAGGGGCTGTAACTGACCCAGCTGGAGTTCAACACATCTCAGGTCTCCTACCGTCCTCCACTTTTTTTGGATTGTGGGAGGGACAGAAGGAAGAGACAGTCAAAACGGAAGATGCTTCTCTCTAATAGGGCTCCAGAAGGGCCACGATTTTGTCTGTGTTAAATTCCAGATTGCTGCCTGGCACACAGCAGTCTCTGAAGACATACGGTTGACTAAAGGAGTGATTAAAATGCCCCCGTCTTTTTTCTCTATCTGCCCTGAAACTACGCTCTGTCTCTCCTCATGTGTCTTTGGTTCATCTTAATGCCCAAGTTCCATGAAGAGGTCACTGGCTAATGACAACAATCATCATATAACTAGGGTAGTAGGTTGAATAATGGCCCCCAGAGGTATCCAGTTTCTAATCCCTAGGACCTTTGAACGTTACCTTCTATGGCAAAAAGGAACCTTAGCAGACTAATAATGACGAATCTGGAGATGGGGAGAATATCTTGGATTATCTGTGTGGGCCCTAAATTCAGTCACAAGTATCCTTATAAGAGGATGGCAAAGGCAGATTTGACTATGGTGGAGAGAAGATGATGCGACGATGGAAGCAGAGAGTGGAATGATATACTTTGAAGATGAAGGAAGGGGCCACAAGCCGAGGAATACAAGTGGCCATTAGAAGTTGAAAAAGGACAGGAAATGGATTCTCCTCTCAGGGGCTCCAGAAGAAACTAGCCCTGCTAACATCCCGATTTCAGCCCAGAGAAACTAATTTCAGCGCTCTGATCTCCGGAAGTATATACGATACATTTTTGTTGCTTTGAGCCACCGAGTTTGTGGTGATTTGTGACAGCAGCAATAGGAAACTAACACACTAGTGTGGATTGAATGTAGTTGTGTGGACTTTTCCTGGGCAACTCAAGGCATTCTCACTGTGGCTCTGGGGGGCAGGTTCTCACATCCTCCACTTTCTAGATGCTGCAGGGGAGCCTTCGAGATGGTGAGGACTGCTTAGCTCACAGCTCACTGGGGGAGAAGCAGCTCAGACTGGTTTATTCATCAGCTGCTGAGCTTCTTGGTGGAAGTTGGGGGAAGTGGCTACCGATAGGAGTGAAACCCCCTCCAAAAAGTTCCCAGCTCCAACATAGAAACAATAAAATGGCAAAGTTGAAAGTATTCAAAAGAAAAATCATTCAAAGATCCTCCTCCCCTATTTTTTTCTCTTTTGCAGAAAGCAAAAGCGCTCCCTGAGCATAAGTATGGGTCCCTCTGTGACTCGTTGCTGTGATGAGGAGCCCGGTCTCCTCATGCTGAGCAGGCCCTCTCAGGGTGAGTGGCTGGCCGCGGGGCCATTCCACCCTCCACCCCAGCTCAAACCCAGAAAGCCACTTGCTTCTCTGCCACTCCTGCTTCCTGAAAGTGGGGCCCCGGGACTTGCCCGCTTAGCACACTTCCAGGTAAACTTACATCTGACAAATGATCGTATGGAAATGCTTATTTATTGGAGAAGGCAGAAATGAATGTCACTCTGGAGCAAAGAGGCCTCACCTCGTGCCTGAAACAACACCTGCACACATGTACACACCTGCACAGTCAGTGCTGTGCTGGGCACTGCCCATGTAAGCTCTGGGAGGGTGATTCTTACCACCCCCACTTTACCGAGGAAAGTGGGGTCAGACAGGTAGATGGTTCTGATTTAGAATTCCAATGGTGTCCAAGCCGTGTCCAGGGAGGAGCCTGGCTCTGGGGGGTCCTTGAGGTCCCAGCTTGCAGCTCCTCAGGCCCATCCTGTGCTTCTGGAGTGGCAATGGGCCAGCCAGGGGGATGCAGCCCTCCTTGTTCCCTCCCGGAGCCAGCCTAGGTGGGCAGGGTGAATCCCTAACCTATTCAGAGTAGGGGTCCTGAATGGTGACAGAGAGGCCATCCAAGAGTCCCATGGGCAGGGGGGATGAAGGGCTACCTTACCATCCTCACTGAAGATGGGGGCGGTGTACAAGTAATGCGTGATGCTGTGGTCTTGCTCGAAGGGACACTCCACTTGCTTCCAGGTGATGAACTCCCCCACCTGCTTGGCCAGCTCCAGGAATTTCTGCCAGGGTCACAGAGACACAGAATGGAGGCACTCCAGTGCCTGAAGGTCCCCGTGATGGGGAGGGGCTGGTCCTGGCAGAGCCTCTCTCCACCCCCAGTGACTTTAGGGGGCAACAAATGAGGGTGAGAGCAGCCCTGGCTTCCAGCCGGCGTGGGGCAAGAGCGGACGTGGCTTCATTTATTTTTGTTGTTATCTTCGATGTATGGCAAGTGATACATGTTTGTTGATTTACAGAATTATGCAAATATATTTAAATAAGTATGTTTAAGTAAGACTTAAGTAATTCCTTGAAGTATGATTTTATTTAAGTAAAATATAAACACATGTACTTAATTTTTAAAAACGCTGCCAACTTTAAGAAGGACTTTAAATAAACAGCAGCACATAGTTGTGAATGGTGGGGAGCCCCATTCCACCGCCTAATCTGCCCTGGCAGCCAGGTCCAGTCCCTCCTGCTCGCTCCCCAAAGCCGGGACCACGTAGCACCTTGCAGTCTTGCCTGACCCTGGCCCCAGCTCTAAGATCAAGTCAGGAAGGGCAAAGGCAGGGGTTCCCATGCCTGCTCTGGGCCAGTGTCACCTGTTGAGAAAGATCCCAGGCCCCTGGGTCCCTGCAGTGTCTTGCCTAAGCCCAATCTTGTCTACATCACCTCCAGCCCAGTATGACCTAAGGGGCGAGGTGGTCTGGGACCCCATAACCAGGCCTGTGGGCAGCATGTGATGGTCTGCTGGGGTGTCTGTGAGGAGGGCAGCTCCAGGTCCAACGGTCTGGGCATGTGCTGTGGTTCCCACCTGCAGGGGACACTCACAGCCCCTGGAGGGCCATGCTGCACCTCCACTCCTAGACCCTCTGTGGGCTACAGTTGAAGCCCCATTTTACACAGGGAGAAACTGAGGCTCAGACAGTGACTGGGGTTGGAGGCTGGGTGGGGCCTCGCACCCACTTGTGTCACCCACTGCTCAGACCAGCACTAGGGTGGGGCTGGCTCTCCGGTGGGAGAAGAGCCCCCTCCTTCCTGCAGACTGGAGGTCTCACTGCTGCATGGCATGCTCCATCTGACTCAGCGCCTGCCTAGCTCACCAAATACTCCAAGACACATGTGCTGGGTGTCAGGAGATGGAGCGGGCCAGCCTGGTCTTGCTTCTCTGGAGCTCAGGGACTTGGGTACAGTGACTGTGGATGGATGGAGGGTTGCCCACCCTGCTGTGCTATGGGAGGCCTGACAGGTGGGCTTTCTCTGCCTGGGAGGTCCAAGGGGGCTTCTTGGAAGAGGAGAAACTTGAGCTGCCAGTGGTGAGGGTCTGTAGAGGGAACAGAATTTCTTTCTGCTCACTCTAGCCTTGGCCTGACAGCTTCCTCCTGCTACTCAGGGCCCTGCCTTGGGGCTGGCCCTGAACCCCAGGGCACAGCCCCTGTCACGGTGCCCTGACATGGGCCCACGGAGCTGTTTTTCTCTTCAGCCCGGTGGCCCTCAAGGGTTCAGATGGACCCTGCTTCACCTGTGCTGGCTGTGAGGTGCAGCGTGGATGACCATGAACCTGAGTCTCAGCCTCCCCCCTGCAGCAGATGTCGGGGTGGGGCGACCCTGATAATCCTGCTGAGGTCAGCTGTGAACTGCTCACTCTGCCCCAGGGTCTCACATTAGGCTGGGTCTGCAGGGGCCGGTGGTCCTGCCCTGGGAACTTTTCCTGGCCAGTCTACCTCAGCGGCAGTCCTCAAGGAGGTTACCTCAAAGTTGACGTGTCCATTGGGAAGGCGGTTGGCGCAGCCCTCATTCAGGAAGTAGATGTCTTTGATGAGCAGGCTGAAGAAGGGAATGACAATCTGGAAGAAAGGGGGGGCAGGTTGGCTCCATCTGGCTGCTCTATACAGCCGGCTCCACGGAAGGGGCAGCCTTGCCAGGAGATAACTGCCCCAGGGACCTCAGACCCAACCCCAGGGTGCAGAGGGCAGGGGAGACTTCCTGGGCTAGCCGGGGCCTCGGGGCTTCGTGGGTCATGAGGCGAGTTCGTGTGTACTACAGAGAGCAAGGAGGACCACAAAGAAAGGAGGAGGCACCCATCACCCTGCTGAGCGTGGAGGTGCCACTGCCCGTCCCCATGTCTGACCTAGTCTCCCTGCCCTCACCGCAGCCAAACAGCTCTTACTTTGCATCTCCAAATTCATTACCCTTGCTTGTAACATGAGAAGTTTAATTAGAGCCTAGGTCAGCTTGGAGGTCACCCAGATAAGTGGGCTCCATGACACAGACTGGGAGGGGGGCAGACAGGAGCCGCCCACAGGCAGGAAGGAAGCATAAAGTGCTGTGACCACCAAGATCTTCCAGCCCCATCAACTTAGCTGGGGTGCCAGGAAACTGTGAGTACAACTCTAGGCATCCCTTCCTCCTTCCTCCTTCCCTCCCTCCCTCTGTCCCTCCAGCCACCTCCACCCATAAAGCAGTTTTTATGGGCCTAGCCCATGACCCATCTCTCTCTGGATAAAGTAAGCACACAGCTATGTAAGCTGCCCACCTACAGCACCAGACCCAATGCACGGCCTCCCAGCACCCAGAGCTGGAAGGGGCTCAGAGCACAGGCACCCAAATCCCAGTCTGTCTACTTGCCCCACAGCGTCCATCCCAGCAGGAATGAAGGAAACAGTGCAGAGTGCCCATGCCATGGCTGACGGCTCCCAGCCCAGCTTGGCACCATGCTCCTATACACCCGACCGGCCCTGCATCCAACCTAGGGCTGTAGCCAGTGCCCTGTGACCACCATATACACCCATGCCTTGGAACAGGAGTCAGCCTGGTGGTGGGCAGAGCCTGAGATTCAGAGCCAGACAGGCTGGATTTTGACCCCTGGCTCTGCTACCTACCTGCAGTGTGACCGGACTAGTAGGTCTCCTGACCGAGACTCAGTCTGCTGATCTGGGAATTAGCAATGCTGATGCCTCCATAGAGTCAGAATTAAGCTGGGGTATGGAGGTCAAGTGGCCGGAATGAGGCAGGTGCTCAGTGACATGAGGTTCCTGCCCCTGTTGTCTGGCTTTCCGGCCTCTGGCGAGCCACCCACCTGCCCTGGGATTTGAGGTCTCGCATCCCTGGGTGCTAACTTTCCTCTGCTGCAGACCCCTGCCTGGGACCCAGAGTCACTGACACGCTCACAGGCTGAACAGGAAAGTCCAGCTGGACAGGACAGAGCCATCTGTGTGGCTGGCATCTACCCCTTGGGCAGAGGGCCAAGAAGGCCTGGCAGGCAGCACAAGCGTGCACACCTCAGCTTGCTTCCCAAGCCTGCCCACTGGCATCTGTCCAATGCAATTCCAGGGGAACCTTAATTTCAAGAACAGCAATGTGCTCTATTAACCCTCAAGCTGGAGACAGACATCAACGAACCACAGCAGGGACCTGATTCCACGAATGTTCCTGGGTGGAACAGGCCTTAAAAGGTACAAGTCTTGGAGTTTCCTCTCTATAGAGATGAACAACTCTAATCATCAGGATGGTAACAGGTTTCAAGTCAGAGGATCACTGCAGTCCCAGGACCTACACATGGATTCTCTCTACCAGAGGCCATGGGTAGAATTTGGAGGAGAAATAAAATTGATCAGGTCAGCAAAGGCCCCACAAATGCAGGTGTATAAGAATACAGGCTGTGGCTGGGTGCAGTGGCTGATGCCTGTAATCCCAGCACTTTGGGAGACTGAGGCGGGTGGATCACCTGAGGTCAGGAGTTTGAGACCAGCCTGGCCAACATGGTGAAACTCTGTCTTCACTAAAAATACAAAACTTAGCCAGGTGTGGTGGTGGGCGCCTGAAATCCCAGTTATTTGGGAGGCTGAGGCAGAAAAATCGTTTGAACCCTGGAGGTGGAGGTTGCAGTGAGCCAAGATTGTACCACTGCACTCTAGCCTGGGCGACAGAACGACAAAAAAAAGAAAAAAATAAATAAAAAAAAAGAATACGAGCTGTGAACAGGCAGTTTGGGTGAGGAAAAGCTTCATGTAGTGATTGCCAAAAATGTAAATGTGATCTGAGGCCACACAAATAAAAGCATTGTGTGTATAATCAGGGAGGTGGAAGATCCTATGTACCTGGAACCACAGTTTTATCTGAAACAGAAGAGATTTCGACAAATGGAGCTGTTTAAGGACCAAAAGGCCCAAACTGGCGACTGCAGTGTGGCCGGGCAGGTCTGGGGCTGTTGACTGAGAAGAGAGAAGGGGGGATGGGGGCTCTGAAGAACTGGTGGGCAGAAGACGAAGTGGTCTCACTTGTGTGGTCCCCCAGGAAAGGCTGACCCAGGCAGCTCGGCTTCAGGCCCTGAAGGAGCACTTCCTGTCAGTTAGAGCTGTCTGAGCCTGGCTTCCCTCCGGTTTTGGGAGGTGGCAGGTTCCCGACCCTGGAGGCATGCAAGCAAGGAGACCTGGCTGTCCATTACCGATGCTCCAGGGAGGCGGGGGCTGGAGCAGCTGAACTCGGTTCGGAGCCGGCACCCAGGCTCCCTGCTACAGCCCACAGGGGCCGAGGCGGCCTCCGACCTACCTTCTCCCGGCTGCTGTGGGCAGTCAGGGAGCGGTGGGCTGCCCCTCGCAGGGCTGTCCTGTAGTTGCAGAAATTCCCTGTAGGGTCCATCTGGTGCTGGAAGGAGACAGGGAGGCATTTGGGCAGTTCTGTCCAGAGGATGGCTGGAGGCACCTGGCGGCCCAGCAGCCTCATTTACCTCGAGGATGAAAAACTTGGCCGTCTTCACTTTGGCCCAGGTCTTCTTCAGCCTGGAGACGGGGCTCATGTTCATGCCGGCTGGAAGAGGGAGGGAGGGCTGGAGGGGGCTGCTCCCGAGACAGGGAGGCTTCTATGCAGCTGCAGCCCCTTGGACTGCACCCTGACCAGGGCTGGGGTCCGCAGGGCTCAGCCTATCAGGTGGTGGGTAGGTAAGGGGGTGTTGGTGGACATCACGGCCAGGTGGGGCTGCTCTCACCATGCTGGTGCCATTCTGTACCTGGCACCTGCTTTGGGCCCTTGTTCTCTCTGGGGCTGGGGACATATCACCAAGCCCTCATCAAACATCCTGAGGGGGCTGGGCTTGCCTCAGAAGGCACGGCTCCTCAGGACCTCTGAGGTGGGGACATGGGGCTGCCCAGGCCTTCAGACAGCCCAGCCCACCCCGCCCCCCACACCATGCTGCTCAGAGATGGGCCCTGGCTGGCACTCTGCCTGCTGACTGCACCCACTCTGATTTCTTGGGGGTGCTTGCACTGGGGACTCCAGGCCCAGGCTGGTCCACTCACAGATGATGGCCATGAGGGAGTTGAAGTTGCCGATGTTGAAGCACTCGCGGGCCACGTCGATGAAGAACTCAATCACCTGCGCCCTCTGCTTCTTCTTGGCTGGCTGGGGACAGGGCAGCAGAGCCTCAGCGGTGACACGCCTCCACCCTGCCCTGATTCTGACCAGGCCTGCTCCCTCACCCAGCCCTCTTCGCTCTCTCTAAACCCACTGCACAGTTGAGGCCCTTGAGGCCCAGGGTAAACAGGGTCTCAGAGAGCTTCACGGGCTGAGCCAGCAGAATCCAATGCCACAGAGGGCTGGGTGGGCCCGGTGGGGGCACAGGCACCCGCTGTTGCCCTGGGGCTGCTGAGAGGCACCTTCAGGAGATGCTCCATGGCTCCCCTCCAGCACCCTCGTCCCTCTAGGCCCAGCTCCCATACCGCTCCTTCCCCAAATTAGAGCCCCCCGCCACCAGCCCTGGGCTTTCTCCCCTCACTGGGGTACAAGCTGGCCCTGAGGCCTGTCCCTCCAGCAGCCCCTCCACCCTCTCCATCTCACAACTGCATGACTGGTAAACCCTGCCTGGTTTGTGGCCGGGTGCTAGGGACTTCAGACCCCTCCAATGCGCAGAACCACACCGTGTGCGTCCCCGGCCATCCTGGGCCGCAACTGGCTCCCTGGCGGGCTCAGGCCAGGCTTCGCCCAGGCTTGGCCCTCTCGCCTAAAGCCAGTGGTGTGAGGATGGGAAGCGGGCTAGGCTGGTGGCGCCTGCGTTGCATTCTTTCCACACAGGCAGGGGTTGCTTGCCCACCAAGCATGCAGCAGGAGCCCAAAAAGTGGGCTGTTGGCCGGGCGCGGTGGCTCATGCCCGTAATCCCAGCACTTTGGGAGGCCGAGGCGGGTGGATCACGAGGTCAAGACATCGAGATCATCCTGGTCAACATGGTGAAACCCCGTCTCTACTAAAAATACAAAAAATTAGCTGGGCATGGTGGCGCGTGCCTGTAATCCCAGCTACTCAGGAGGCTGAGGCAGGAGAATTGCCTGAACCCAGGAGGCGGAGGTTGCGGTGAGCCGAGATCGCGCCATTGCACTCCAGCCTGGGTGACGAGAGCGAAACTCCGTCTCAAACAAACAAACAAACAAACAAACAAAAAAGTGGGCTGTTGTGCTCTGAGATGTGTCATCAAACCCCCTTTCCAGGGCTGCCTTGGCTACACAGAGCTGCTCACCCAAGGCCGGAGCTGTCCTTTGAAGGGCAGCCCGCCCTGTGATGGGGGCCGAGCCAGGTGGAGGGATAGAGGCCAACCACTGTGTCTGTCACCACATCGCGTGGGGTCGCCTTCCCCTACTCTTCTTTGCAAGTGTGGACCCCTCATGAACATGTGCCCCATGCTGGATCTCAGCACCCGCTGCAGCCTGGCCCCGGCGCTGCCTCCAGCCTGGCCCCCTGGACTTCATCTTAAGGTGAGAGAGTGGGTTCAGAGGAGGGTCCCTCTGCTGCAAGGAGGAGGGTGGGTGGGTGTGGCCAGGTGGGACTGCAACTCAGTGACAAACATGTCTGGCTCCACGCTGCTGAGTCTTGGTGCTTTCCAGAAGCAGCTAGAACCATGGGCTTCTATGTGCATCTCCCAGTGCTTAAAAGTTGGATCACATTCACCTCTAGGTCCTGAGCAAGCCAAACAAGGCCAGTTGCAGGCCAGGCTGCCCAAAGCAAGCAGGCACAGATGGAGGGAGCAGAGCCACCGGGGCGGGGAGTGACTGCCCCTCACTCCTTCAGCAAACTCTCTCCGACACACTCCGTGTCTGGCTGGTGGATCTGTCCTGGATTCTTCTTGGAGGGAAATGTCACAGCAGGAAAGCTGGTGTTACCTGCAGTCCTGGAGGCATGCCCAGCCTAGCCCTGGACTTGGAAATGAACAGGACTCAAGGTATCCTTCCGATTCCTTCCCTGGTGGGCTCCTCCCGACTGCAGCCACCTTGGGCTATGCCAGCTCGTGCCCACCATGGCTGTCCACTCACCATGCAGATCTCAGTTGCCACCAGGTAGCACAGTCTGTTGAACCATTTCACGTAAGCCTCTAGGTTGCTGGTCTTGTCATTGAAGCAGGGCTAGAAAACACACACAGGACCATGTTCTGAGTCTTTTTGTTAATCATTTTTCTTAGGACATGAAGTCAGTTTATGATCCTTACAATCCAGGAAATGTCAAAACCCCCAAACCATCAAGAAATACCAAAGATTTGGTGTGTACCCTTTTAGTCCTTTAAAAAATACATTTTAAAATGTAATTTAACATACATACACACACAAAACACAAACACACACACACACACACACACACACACACACACACACTCCTCATTATTCCTGGGTCCTGTATTTGCAAAGTTGCCTACTCTAAACTTTATTTCTAGCCCCCAAAACTTGTGTGACTTTGGTGGGCATCTGTACCCATGCATGGGGTGGCAAAACTATTGAAGTCATGCAGTGTCGGTGAGCGTCTCCAGCTGAGGCAAAGCAATGCTCCGTCCTGTATCACACACTCAGACTTGGCCTACTGAGTATCGTGTCTTTTGCATTTTCATGCTTTTTGCTGATAATTTCATTGTTGAGAAAGGCCCCAAGCATGGTGCTGAGGTGCCGTCTAGTGTTCCTACGCATGCAAAGGCTGCACTGTGCTCCACAGAGAAGACGTGTGTAACATCAGCATTCAGTCCTGAGTAATCGCACTGTTGGCCATGAGATCAATAGTAATCAACAATTTATATTAAATAATGTCTTCAAACATAAACACACATCAAACAAGGTTATATATTGATCCGTCGGCAAAAACATCGTGATGAGAGACTCACAGGAACCTAACCTTGCGTCCCCTGGGAGCAATGGTTCTGTGCTCACTCACTGAGTGCTTCTGACTTTATAGAACATAGCTGCTGGGAATAATGAGCACCAGCTGTGCGCATGTGTGTACCTGTCATAACCATATATATTCCCATACTTTTCTACATGAATCTTTCCCTGTGTCATAACATATCCTTTGGAAACAAAATTTTGAAATTGATACAGAACTTCCCACTATATAACATATCACCGTTTAAAAGATGAAACTTAACATAAATGTGTTTGTTAAAACTGCCAGGGTAATTTTCAATGAATAGAGGGGAAGATGGAATGGAGGATCTGTTCATTCAAAAGAAGCAAGGAGCCGGGCGCGGTGGCTCAAGCCTGTAATCCCAGCACTTTGGGAGGCCGAGGCGGGTGGATCAAGAGGTCGATAGATCGAGACCATCCCGGTCAACATGGTGAAACCCCGTCTCTACTAAAGATACAAAACATTAGCTGGGCATGGTGGCGCGTGCCTGTAATCCCAGCTACTCAGGAGGCTGAGGCAGGAGAATTGCCTGAACCCAGGAGGCGGAGGTTGTGGTGAGCCGAGATCGCGCCATTGCACTCCAGCCTGGGTAACAAGAGCGAAACTCCATCTCAAAAAAAAAAAAAAAAAAAGAAGCAAGGAAAGGAGAAAAAATAGAAAGGAAAGAAAGGCGACTACATCGTACAGCAAAAGACAGCAAGGACTAATTCTCATGGGCTAGTGATCACAACGCTGTGGTTAAGAATCCAGCTCCTTGACATTTCCAAGAGATACACACCAAACACAAGGATGTAAGTACAAAAATAGAAAAACATGTGATAAATATTATGTAGCTATATTAATACTGAACAAAAGAGACTTATTTTATTTTATTTATTTACTTATAAAGACGGGGTTTCACCATGTTGGTCAGGCTGGTCTTGAACTCCTGACCTCAGGTGATCCACCCACCTTGGCCTCCAAAGTGTTTGGATGACAGGCGTGAGCCACAACGCCCGGCCAGACTTTAAGGCAACAAAAAAGACCCTAAGGCAAAAAGCTTTTGGAGAAATTAGAGAGTACTTGCAGAATGATAAAAGATTCAACTCATGAGTAATATGTCACAAGTCTAAATTTGATTGCAGCTAGTAACATAGGTTCAACATACGGAGGCAAAAATAATCTGAAAAGTGAAGTTCTTTATAAGGAGAAGTTGAGACCTACAGTCACATGGAAGATTTTAACACATGACAGTAATTAATACGTTAGGAAGATTGAAAAAAGAAAAACAAAACCAAATTCAGGATGAGTACAAATATGAACAACATAATTTGAAGCAATAAACAAATATGGAAACTTGAACTTAATTACTTGAGAACATGCATTCTTTTCAAATGCTCAGAAACTTAAAAAACATTTAAAAATAATCTATGGTTCAAAGATGAAATTGTAACGGAATTAGAATAATAATGAGAATATTGAAAAATGAAACTTGGAGGCTGCAAATAAAAATTTATATAAAGAGAAATAATCTTTCATACTTTTATTAGAAAAGAAGGATTAAAAACAAGCTGAACATCGAACATAAGAAACTGGAAAAAGAAGAACAGAATAAATCCAAAGAAAGTTGATGGAAAGAAATAATAAAGAGTAGAGAAGAAAGAAATGAAATACTAAATAAAGCTACAATCTACAGAATCAACAAAGCCAAAAGATCTTTATTTGAAAACATTAAAACAATTGATGAAACTTTGGTAAGATTGATACAGCAACAAAGAGAAATGTAAATAATCGAAATACTAGAGATGAATCAATATGGATGTGAAGAAATTAAAAAGATACCTAGAGAATATTATAAATAACTTTATGTCTATACGTTTGAAAACTTAGGGGAAATGGCCAAATTCCTAGAAAAATATAAATTACAAAACAGACAAAAGAAGAAACGGAAAACCTAAACATTTCTATAACCTTTAAATCAATAAGAATAAGCAAAGAAACAAGAAAAACCTTGAATCAGTACATGAAAGTCATTCCTCAAAGAAAATACCCGGCCTAGATGGTTTCACTGGCTAATCTCTGCAAAATGCTTCAATAACAAGTAATCCCAGTGTTTCAAAAATAATAGAGAACAGGGAAGAGAAACAGACTTCACAAGAACAATGTCAAAAAGGGAAACAGGTCAATCTCACTGAGGATTATAGCTGCAGAAATCCTAAACAAAACATTAGCAAAACAAATCCAGGGAGGTATGAAAACAATGATTTTGCTTATCCCAGCTTCACTTGTCTGAGAAATGCAAAGTTGATTCAACATTGATTAAATAGCCCAGTGGCCCATGCCTTTAATCCCAGCACTTTGGGAGGCCAAAAGAGAGTGGATCACTTGAGGTCAGGAGTTCGAGAACAGCCTGACCAACATGGTGAAACTCTCTCTCTACTAAAAATACAAAATTAGCTGAGCATGGTGGTGGGTGCCTGTAATCCTAGCTACTTGGGAGGCTGAGGCAGGAGAATCGCTTGAATCCGGGAGGCGACGACGTAGTGAGCTGAGATTGCGCCATTGCACTCCAGCCTGGGCCATAAGAGCGAAACTCCGTCTCAAACAACAACAACAACAACAACAACAACAACAACAATAACAACACCACCAAAAAGCTAGGCTAGGTGAGGTGGCTCATACCTGTAATCCCAGCATTTTGCGAGGCCAGTACAAGCAGATTTCTTGAGCTCAGGAGTTCTAGACCAGCCTGGGCGAACATATTGAAACCCCATCTCCACAAAAAACACAAAAATTAGCCAGGCATGGAGGTGTGTACTTGTAGTCCCAGCTCCTTAGGGGGCTGAGCTGGGAGGGTCACTTGAGCCCAGGAGGTTGAGGCTGCAAGGAGCTGTGTTCATCATACTGTACTCCAGCCTGGGCAAAAGAGCAAGACTGTCTCAACAACAACAACAAAACCCCAAACAAACAAACAAAGGAAACATTGATTTTAAAAACTAATATAAATAACCATTTAACAGTTTAAAGGAGAAGAGAATATGTGAGTAACAGATCCAGAAAAATAAATGAAATTTAACAACCATTCGTGATGAGAATTCTCAGAAAACGAGGAAGGAACAGGTTACTTCCTTGAGCTGATAATGGACATCTAAAGAAATCCTGTTGCAAACATCAGCTCTGTCAGGACACGTTGAAAGTATTCCTTTGAAAATTAGGACCAAATAAGGATATGCCACCTCTCAATACTTCTATTTGACGTTGTACCAGAGGTACAAGTTAGCACAGTAAGTTAGTCAGATCGGGCAGTGTTACTCCGCCATAACAATCTCAACAGTTCTGAGATTTAAAACTTCCTATTAGTGGAGGGGTCTGCTCTATGACTGCTATAGAAATGAATAAGGATTGGAAAGGAAGAAACAAAACTGTCATTATTCTCAGATGTACTTGTCTACATGAAAAACTCTAAAGAATACACATTATTAGAATTAGTAAGAATTTACAATGTTGTCAAATTTAAACTTGACCTACAAAGTAAATTACATTCATTAAACCAGCAACAAGCAGACCGGAAATACGACAAATCCATACTTGAGGTAATGGACAAATATGGAGTCCTTTGCTCATTTATTTGAGAATATGCATTCTTTTCAAACATTCAGAAATCTAAAAACACATTTAAAAATAATCTATGCAAAGAGGTTGTTTTATATATAATAGTAAAAGTATGCATACGATATCTCGGGGAAGAAACCTAACAAAATCTTTACGAGACTTGTATGGAGAAAATTACTAGCCATTAGAAAGATACTCTAGAGTAGGCCGAAGTGAGTGGAGGGACATACCATTTTTATGAATTGCCAGACTCAAATGTAATGAAATATAAATTCTTTTCATGAAAATGCAAATTTCCCCAAATGGATCTATATTTAATATATTCTAACAAAATCCCTATAGGACTTTTTATAGAAATTGACAAATAACTCTAAAACTTAAATAGAAAAGCAAACGGCCGAGAATAGCCAAGCCACACTCCTATAGAAGAACCTGTAGGATTTGCTTCAGCAGACATAAGACTCATCATGAAACTGTAGTAACTAAAGCAAAGTGTCTTGACACAGAGAGAGAGAAATAGACCATGGGGCAGAACAGAACATCCAGGAACAGACTTACACGTATATGGAAAGCTCATATCTGAAAGTGACATGTGTCAGGGCACATGGGAGGGTAAAGGAATATCTAATGGTGGTGCAGAAACAATTGGTTATTTGTCTGGAAAAAACCAAAAATGAATCTCACTTTAAGCCGTATACACAAAATGAATTTCAGATAAAAATGTGAAGGACAAAACTTTAAAACGTCCATAGGAAACATAGGAGACTATCTTTATGACCTGAGTGGGGTGTAGGGAAGGATTTCTTAACCTCTTACTCTCACCAAAAAAAAAAAAAAAAAAGGAAAATTTAGTAAATTTTCCTAGGTTAAGCTTAAGAATACCTGTTCATCAAAAGACATCATAATGAGGATGAAAAACAAAGCAACCAGCTAGAAGAAAATATGCAGCACATTTAATTGACCTAGGATCATTATCTAGTACACATTTAAAATAAACAAAAATGATAAATTCGTAAAAATCCTTAAGAAGACAAATCACCAATTGAAAACTGGGCAAAAGTCAGACAGAGGTATTTTATAGAGAAGGAAACAGGAATGCCCAAAATACATGAAAAGATGCTCCATTTAACAGTTTGACAAAAATTAAAGCCTGACAATTTCAAGTGTTTATGGGGGTCTGGGATAACTTCCTGCTGGGAGTGCTGACACATGGCCTCACCTGGCATTACCTGGCAAGGCCGTCCACATCCTGACCCTGCGACTGAGGAATTCCCCTTCCCAGGAGCAACAGTCCCTAACATGTTGTCCCTGGATTCCAGGGGGTCCTTGGCACCCTTTCGGGAGGTCCACAGGCGAGGCTGCTTTCACAATAATACGATGCTGTCGCCTTTTCCACCGTTGGCGTGTAAAATTGCCCAGTAGAAGAAAAAGGAGTGTGTGACTTAAGAATGTTCTGAATGAGGCAAAACTTTTAACTTTTATTCATTCTAGCTCTTTGAGATTTTCCATTTTTTATGTGCCACAATGGTTTGTGCATACGAAGCCCTTCTGTTGCATACAGAAAGTGTGCTGGTTGTTTTGAGGGAAAGCGCTTAATTCATTAGTGAGCTGAACTGGCCACTGTTTTCCTGGAGAACCATTTCTGCTCTAAAGAAGGACCCCTAGACATACCATGGCAATTCAGACTTCAGTGTCTGGCTGACATTTTCTTGAAAATGAACAAAATGAACCCGTCATTTAAAGGAGAACAGCTGGAATTAGGGAAAATATTTTATTTGAATGATTTCTATAAACGAGGAGCTATCGTTCTTTTACATTATTTTTCATCTTTGCTGTTTCTTTGAGCAGAATATTGTGTCACACAATTATCTAAGGTATTTGTTTTCTCTAAGAATTGTCTTAAAAGTATTCTTTTACCAGAGTAGTTGCATTATATTTCAAAATGTAAGATAATTTTTAAAAGCCTGAGTACTGATCTAAGATGCATATGTATGACCTCTACTCTGAAGGGGGGAGGGGGGGTGGCAGTGGAAGTTGTAAGACTTTTACTTTTTTGTGCCATCAAATATAGGTAAAAATAATTGTGTAATTCTCCTGTTTAAACAGGAACTATTGGCCTTTTGGCCCTAAATGGAAGGGCTGATATTTTAAGTTGATTATTTTATTGCAAATTAATCCAACCTGATTCTTTTTAATTTAGTTGAATGTTTTTCTTGCTAAATGCTGTTTAAAAAATTAAAACTGGAAGTTCTTGGCTTAGTTACAAAAAAATAAAGGAGAATGATTGACAATATTTGTTGCCAATGATAAAATTAAGGCTTTCAAGAGAAAACTGGGAGCTTGTAAGACACGTATCTGCCTCTGAGATTGACAGCTTCCACAGACTTAAACAATGTGAGTAAGAGTGATAATAATGTGATTTCTAAAATGTTGTACAATGAAATGTGCCAACATTTGCAAGATCTCCTAACACAGCGAACATATATTTTCCCACATGACCAACGTATGATGTCACAAAATCATGCATCAAGATGCAAGCGGACCAATAGCTTTCAGTGTCAGAGTACAGAAAGTTCACTGATATCTCTTCAGATTTCACATTGTAGTTAATTCTCAAGAACTGTAACTTGCTGAGTTTTAGTATGATATTAAAGAAGCATATTCACAATTATCTGAAAAGGTGGTAAAATACTCCTTCCTTTCCTAGCTACCTGTCAGGGTGAGGTTGGATTTTCTTCAACCAAAAAACGATCTCAAGAGACAGAATGCAGAAGCAGAGAAAAGAATCCAGCTCTCTTCTATTAATTCAAATAGTAAAGAGATTTGTAAAAAATACTATAAAACAATGCCACTCTTCTCAGTAATTTCCTATTGTGAAAAAAGAATTTTTTTAAATAAAATATGTTATTTATGTTACCATGTAATGGGTTTTTATTGTTTTGTTTTTAGAGAGATGGGTTCCCACTATCTATGTTGCCCAGGCTGGACTTGAACTCTTGGGTTCAAGCAATCCTCCTATCTGGGCCTCCTAGCTGGGACTACAGGCATGGGCCACTGCTTGGCTATTATTGTTATTTTTGAATAAATATTTTAAAAAGTTAATCTTAGGGCGGGGCATGGTGGCTCATGCCTGTAATCCCAGAACTTTGTGAGGCTGAGGTGGGTGGATCACTTGAGGTCAGGAATTTGAAACCAGCTTGGTCAACATGGCGAAACCCTGCCTCTAATAAAAATAAAAACATTAGCCGTGTGTGGTGGCACACACCTGTAGTCCCAGCTACTCGGGATGCCGAGGCAGGAGAATCGCTTGAACCCGGGAGGTGGAGGTTGCAGTGAGCCGAGATATTGCCACTGCACTCCAGCCTGGGTGACAAGAGTGAGGGAGGCTTAGTCTCAAAAAGCAAACAAGCAAACACTTAATCTTAATTCCTCGTAGGATAAATATTGATAAATATAATCTATAGAACCGAAAGTTACTTGGAGTCCTTAATAATTGTTAAGAGTATAAAGGGGGCCGGGCGCGGTGGCTCAAGCCTGTAATCCCAGCACTTTGGGAGGCCAAGGCGGGTGGATCACGAGGTCAAGAGATCGAGACCATCCTGGTTAACATGGTGAAACCCCGTCTCTACTAAAAATACAAAACGTTAGCTGGGCATGGTGGCTCGTGCCTGTAATCCCAGCTACTCAGGAGGCTGAGGCAGGAGAATTGCCTGAACCCAGGAGGCGGAGGTTGCGGTGAGCCGAGATCGCGCCATTGCACTCCAGCCTGGGTAACGAGAAACTCTGTCTCAAAAAAAAAAAAAAAAGAGTATAAAGGGATCCCGAGCTCTCTGAGAACTGACGCCCCAGAGAAAATGCACACTTGTGTGTATACCCAGACACAGGCGTAAGAATGTCTACAGTGGGAATATTCATAACAGTAAAAAGCTGGAAACACAAATGTTCATCTACAGTAGGGGGGATCAACCAATGTGATGTGTCATCTTGATGTATTTTACAGACAAAAAAGTAATATTCGCAGACGGGTGCGGTGGCTCAAGCCTGTAATCCCAGCACTTTGGGAGGCTGAGGCGGGTGGATCACGAGGTTAAGACATCAAGACCATCCTGGTCAACATGGTGAAACCCTGTCTCTACTAAAAATACAAAAAATTAGCTGGGCATGGTGGCACGTGCCTGTAATCCCAGCTACTCAGGAGGCTGAGGCAGGAGGATTGCCTGAACCCAGGAGGCGGAGGTTGCCGTGAGCCGAGATCGCGTCATTGCACTCCAGCCTGGGTAACAAGAGAGAAACTCCGTCTCAAAAAAAAAAAAAAAAAAAAAAAAAAAAGTAATATTTGGAGATGGCCCCAAACCAAACAATCTTGTCAGAATGTCCCCCGCATTCCCTCCCGTTCCTTCCTCCCAGCACAACTGTTCAGAATTCCCAGAGCAGTCAGAATTCAGAGAGAGTGCTTCCAGACATGCAAAACATACATTTTTTTGGTGACCCTATTTTTTTGTTATGCAAATGGTCACATACTCCTGTCCCTGTTCTTCCCTCTACCCTTTTCTCTTAGTACCCGGACGGGTAGGCCTTGGAGATGGTTTTCCTTTCACAGCTGCACAGCATTCTAGTCATAGCTGTTTCACAGCTTGTCAGTGCCCATGGGTGATAAGGCAATCTGCTCCCTGTGTTTGGCCATAATAAACTTTGTCTATCCCAAATACCTTCGTCCGTGCATGTTCGCCTACATGTAGATATGGAAAGTTGGGGTCAAGAAAATCCATTTAAAGCGTTGATGCTAGTGCCAATCTCCCCACCAAAGTGGCTGTGCCAGCTTCACCGCAGCAGCCATGTGGAGGGCGCCTTCCACAACGTGTCTGACCTGCAAGGTGATCTTTGCTTATCTGAGAAGCGAAAATGCAATCTGATATGTAGTTTGTAGTTTTATTAGGTGTGAGGGCAGAAGCCAAAATGCTTGCAATTCTCGCTTGGATTTAGCCCGTTGGAAGCACCGGCACGTTGCTTTGGGCTCCTAGAAGGGCCGGATCGAAATCCGGGTGTTGTGGGTCAAGTCCTGAGCCCCGGGCCCCAGGAGTTCACCTGGTCCCGGCAGCGCGCAGCAACTCGCGCTTCCCCGCGTGGCCGCTGGAGGGCACCGGCGCCCGCTGAAACTCACCGGGGAGGCGCTCCCGGTGCCGGAGCGCGCCGCGGGGGGCGGGGGGCCCTGCGCCGTCCTCCCTGCCCCGGGTCCCGGCCCGCCCGGGCAGCGCGGCGCATGGCCTGGTTCCCCGTCCACTCCTCCGCCCCCAGTGGGTGGATGACCCCCGTCCCGCACGTCCAGGCCCCCAGGCTTGCCCTGGACTCGGCTGTCGCGGTCCGCCCCCGACCCCCGCTGGAGGGGCGTGGCGGAGTGGGGAGGGCCCGTCCGAGCCCACCTGTCCCACTCGGGCCGCTCCAGCGCTCGCCCAGAGGATGCTCTCGGGCTCCCCTGAGAGTGGCCAGTCACTGGGTGAGGGTCACTTTTGGGACAGCCCGTAAGAGCCTCCTACCTTTGTGCTGGCCAGAGGGTCCTTGTTCACAAAGGCCTGGACAAACTCCTCAGGCCCGATGTGCCGCAGCCTCTCCTGCAGGGGACCGGGAGGAGGGGTAAAAGAGCGGAGGTGTGGGGAGGAGGTGTCTACTGTGGGGCCTGCCGTGGTGCCCCTGCCTCCAGTCCTCCTCACAACGGTCACCCTGCAACTGCCCTCCTCACTGGGGCTTGGAGACCCTGGTGTAGGTTGTCACAGAACTCAGGGCCTTCCCGGGAGGAGGCAGCCCCTCCTTTCCTAGTTGATGGGGGCATGGAGCAATGCTGTGCAGCGTGACACCAGGGAAACCAGGCTCCACACTGGGTCACCGAAGTGGCCTGCTTCCTTTGCGGGGGGCCTGGTGGCCAGGAGCGTGGCATCTGGGTCAGAATCAAACCCTGGCTCTGCCCCTTCTGCTGTGTGACGTGGGCAAATCACTTGACCTTTCCGGGCCTTAGTTTCCTCCGTGTACAGGGCCCGCCTGGCCGGGTGACGGAGACATGAGCTAGTGCATGGGAGCGCTCTGGAAGAGCAGGGAGGACGCCATCAACAGGCAGTCTCGGAGGGAAGAGGCCCGCCCCAGCCTCCCTCCCTCTGGGGTGGGCCCTCGCCTCTTCATCCACAAGCAGCCCAGTGTGTGCTCGAGGCGAGGCCAGGGCACGACCTTCACAAGTTTGTGGGGCTGCTCGGGGAAGCCAGGGAGGGCACAGTGCATCTGTGGGTCCTGCCCCAGGAAGCCGAATCCCGGGTGAGGAGGGTGGCTTGGGCCCGCTCACCAGTTCCACATGGGTCAGCTGCTGGGCCAGTGTGTAGGGGTCGCTGCAGACACCAAGGAGCTCCCTGTGGATGGACGCTGGCGGCTTGGTCCTGTAGGAGATGGGCTTGTCGGCACCCAGCAGACCTTCTGGCCCCTGGCGTAGAGCCGCCAGCTTCTGGTGCAGAGCCTGTAGGAGCTGATGCATGCTCTTCCGGTATGCCTGGTGGGTGGAGAGAGGGGCGCTCAGGCCTGAACACCCATCTCTGCGTCTCTCACACTGGAGGCAGGCAGCCTCCTGGGCTCTGAAGGGAGAGGCTTTTCCTTAGGGTCTCTGGAGAAAAGACCAGGTACCAGCAGAGGGGCCAGGACCTGCCCCTACCCCGAAACGGGACCCACTCCCAGAAAGGTTGGGGCCACCAGGCAAGGCAGGTGATGTGAAGGCTGCAGGGCTGTGGTTGGGAGCTGCAAGGAGCACAGGTCAGGGAGGGTGACGGGAGCCAGGTCTGCTGCAGCTGTCTGGGGCAGTGGGGTGGGCACTGCCAGGAAGCCAGAGAAAGGGAGAGAGGAGGGAGACACGGCATAGGCCTGCCCTGGACGGACGACTGGCATTTTGCTTGGCTTTAATGGGGACCCCTGTTATCTCCAGGCCCAGCTCAGCCTTCTCCAACCAGCTGTGCTGTTCTGGCCTCTGCCCCCGGCAGTACCCATCCAGGTCACCCTATGCAACTTCTTTTATAAGACCAAGGTTGAGACAATTGGGTTCATTTCCTCGCACACTAGAATGACAGCTCCATAGGGCTGCAAGGTCTGTGTTGCCCTCTCTGTGCTATGAGAGCCCAGCTCCACTCTGGGCACGCAGGGGGTGTGCAGTGAGCGCTCACTCCCCACCAGCCAGCTAGGACGCATGGGCTCTTGCTTTGGGCCATGCCATGGGCTGGGTACAGGGATGAATGGCCATGGCCATCCCTCAAGGGACACCTCCTCTCTTACCCTCAAGGAAAATCTAATTATTTTCCCCCTAGGAAACCCCTATTTCCAAGGAAGTGCCATCAGACTGGCTGGGTTTGTTAAGGGAAACGTTGTCATGTCCTCAAAGGTTTTGGTCTAACCCAGAGTGAGATGCAACCCCCTACATGCCAGGAGCTGGCCTGGGCATTGGCAGAGGCAGTGGTGGGAGCCAGAGCCTAGCCCCCAGCAATGCGAGCATTGGCTAGACAAGCCACATGCTCCTAGAGGCCTCGGGAAATAACAAGGGGCAGGCAGGCAGTATTGTCAGGTCCTTTGAGAGATCACAGCGAGTTTTTCTTCATGTGATTTTGAGACACACAGAGCCTACAGTGAGTGTGCAGTGTGGCATATGCATGCTGGCTATGAGGATCTGGGGGCTCCGACTGCTCTTGGGAGCCTCAGACTGGGCCCTGGGGTGATGCTGTTGTTTGAGGACTGCTGGAGCCCTGTGCTCTGGTGATGGAGGTGGTCGTCGTCTGGCCCCTATGGTAGTGCTTCTCTGCGGGGTGGCCACCGTCAGCTGTGGCAGAGCCTCAGACGGGAGGAATGGGACAGGAGGTGGCTTACCCCTAAACCTAACTCCCAGGTACAGAAGGCGCCCACTGCTTAGCTGAAGCAGTGAGTAGGGAAGCTGAGGTCTGACTCTTCTATCTGTTGCCCATGGAAGGAACAACCCCTCTCAGCAAGGCTGTGTCCAGGACTGTGGTGAGCACCCTGCCTCCCAGGGTTTCATCTGAGTGCTGAGACGATGGGGAATGGGGTGCAGCCACTGCCAGCCTGGGGGGCACGGTCAGTCCCCTGTGGGCCCTGACCCTTCTACTGACCTCCTGTCTCTCTCCCAGGCACAGCCAGAGTCCCACGAGTGGCCACACCTGCTGTTTCGCCTCCTCACCTCCCGCTCACTCCTGGATCACTTCACCTGGCTGCCACTCCCATCAGCCATTGGGCCCTCCTGTCAGTGGCTATTTCCAGGCCCCAGTGGCTATTAATAGCCTCCTCCAGTGGCTATTTCTCAGGCTGCGTCTTCCTTGGCCACCTCTGCCTCAGCCTCCTGCTTGCTCCTGACTTGGGCTGTCGGCAGGCTTTCCTGTCTTCACCATTGTGGGATGCTGGGGTTCTTCCTGCGCGGTCTAGACCTCTCTTCTCACTCTTTCTTAGCTCCTGGGTATTCTGGTTCACATTGGCAGTCTTCCGCATTTACATGTGCCGCCTCCCTCTGACCTCTGGTCACATGGGTGATGGTCCGTCATACGGCCCACGGTCTTCTGTGTGCCCAGCACAGCAAATGGAGGTTTGCACTCCTTGTCTGAAGCTGGTATTTCCAGTGTTGGTGGACAGCGCACCAGCCACCAGGCACACAGGCTTTGTGCCAACCTTGATCCTGCCCTCTCCCTCACGCCCCTCTAGGCCATCACCACCCTTCTCTATTTCATTTTCTTCTATTTCTGCGAATCTCCACCCCATGTCTGTAGGCCAGGCCACTGTCATCTCTCTGGCTCCTTAATGCCCCACTGCATTCACACCAGTTTCTCTCCACTCTGCAGCCAGAGTGTTCTGTTCAAAATGCAAATCTGATCACTGCTTCCCTCTTCCTGAAAATGCCTCCATGGCTTGTCCAAAGACAAGAGACCTGGTGTGACGCTGTGGCCCTGAGGTCGGCTCTGGTCAGGCTCGGTGGCCTCTGCGTGCCCTTGCTCCCTCTCTGTGCTCTGGAAACAGATCATTCCTCTGCTCCTTTGCCTCCTTCCCACCCTCCCTGTGTTCCTGGCAGGAGCTGGACAACTTCCCCCCTCTGGCATGTTCTCATCCACTGGACCGAAGCTCAAGCGCTGCTTCTCCAGACAGGCCATTGGCGCTCAGCGCCGTGAGTCCTTCTGCCACACCAGGTGCCCAAATCAGTTTTTTTTTTTTTTTTTTTGAGACGGAGTCTAGCTTTGTCGCCCAGGCTGGAGTGCAGTGGCACAATCTTGGCTCACTGCAGCCTCTGCCTCCTGGGTTCAAGCGATTCTCCTGCCTTAGCCTCCTGAGTAGCTGGGATTACAGGTGCACGCCACCATGCCCGACTAATTCAGGACACAGGCATAGGCAAGAACCTCATGACTAAAACACCAAAAGCATTGGCAACAAAAGCCAAAATAGACTAATGGGACCTAATCAAACTCCACAGCTTCGGCACAGCAAAAGAAACAGTCATTAGAGTGAATCGCCAACCAACAGAATGGGAAAAAATTTTTGCAATCTACCCATCTGACAAAGGGCTGATAGCCAGAATCTACAAAGAACTAAAACAGATTTACAAGAAAAAAACAAGCCCATTCAAAAGTGGGTGAAGGATAAGAACAGACACTTTACAAAAGAAGACATACATGAAGCCAACAAACATATGAAAAAATGCTCATCATCACTGGTCATTAGAGAAATGCAAATCAAAACTACATTGAGATACCATCTCATGCCAGTTAGAATGGTGATCAACAGATGCTGGAGAGGATGTGGAGAAATAGGAACACTTTTACACTGTTGGTGGGAGTGTAAATTAGTTCAACCATTGTGGAAGACAGTGTGGCGATTCCTCAGGGACCTAGAAATAGAAATTCCATTTGACCCAGCAATCCCATTACTGGGTATATATCCAAAGGACTATAAATTGTTCTACTATAATTTTTTTTTTTTAATAGAGACGGAGTTTCACCATGTTGGTCAGGCTGGTCTTGAACTGCCTGACCCCGTGATCTACCCGTCTTGGCCTCCCAAACTGCTGGGCCAAGTCAGTTTTAGAGCTGACAGGGAAATGATTCTGTTCACGTGCATCTCCTCCCCCTGGACTACAAGTTCCACGTGGCCAACCACAGGCTGCCCTTCGCTCATGAAGGGCAGTACCCGGCTCACAGGAGGTGTCCATGAGCATCTGCTGAATGCGCGGCCTTCACCAGCTGATAGTCAGAGGTTCTCTGCAGCAGGGTGTCAGGGCGGACTGCAGGCCCATGCCAAAATCAAGGCTGCAGGGTGTCTGTGCCTACCCCTTGATAGGGCCGTGAGATTGCCTTCTTTTTTAAAAATGCAGATAATTTAGGATGATTTGTTACTGTCGAATGAACCAATATTCATTCTAAATAATTATCCCTTCCTGCTTGCTAATTTGTTTAGATTTTTCCAGTGATGTTAAGTTCCAGCTTACGTTTGTTCTCGGACTCTGCCGTGCTCCCTCTGAATGCGGGGATGTTATCTGCCCTACTCCTTGCCCCCCTCTCATTTTCTCACTGATTTCTACACACTAGTAGATGGGGCTCGGAGATCTCCCCGGCAGATATGGGCAGGGCCAGGGACCCAAATCACCGAGAATGTCAAGGCGTTCCCTATCACCATAGCAGGCCCACATTTATGAAGCACCAGGGCACGCTGGGGCGGCACAGCACTTTGCCCCTCCAGCCTTGGGCTGAAGCCCTCCCTCCACACTGATCATAGTTGGGAGGATGTCCGGGAGGCTGGAAGGTCTGGAGCTTCCGTTTCCATGTATTTCCACCAAGCCGTCTGCTGCATGCATAGAGCCAGGTGTGATTGCGGAGTCGTCCAAGGGTGGCCTGGGAGGTGGCCACGGCTCTCCAGGTGCCTCCAAGCTCTCTTGGACTGGGCATTTCACAGCTGGAGCCCCCGTCCCTGACCAGATGAGCACTGGCCCCTGTTCTCTGAAGTTCTTGGAGACTCTCTTCTGAGCCAGCCTAGGGCAGATGTCCTCCTGCCTACTACATGACAGGCAGAAATGGCAGAAAGCTGACGCAGGAGCTCATAAGGCTCCTGGGGCTCTGCCCTCTCCATTGGTTTGTCCTCTGTGTCAGCTTTCTGCCACTTCCGCCATGGGAGGGAGTCTCCGAAGGTGGTGGTCAATTCGGCAGACAGTCTGTGTGAGCAAGCAAGACCAGGCTGGGTGCCGTGGCTTATGCCTGTAATCCTAGCACTTTGGGAGGCTGTGGTGGGGGGATCAGGATGTCAGGAGTTCAAGACGTCAGGAGTTCAAGACCAGCCTGACCAACATGGTGAAACACCATCACTACTAAAAATAAAAAAATTAGCCAGGCATGGTGGTGCATGCCTGTAATCCCAGCTACTCAGGAGGATGAGGCAGGAGAATGGCTTGAACCGGGAGATGGAGGTTGCAGTGAGCCGAGATCACACCACTGCACTCCAGCCTGGGTAACAGAGCGAGACTCCGTGTCGGAAAAAAAAAAAAAAAAAAAGCAAGACCAGTCCTCGGAGAGGCTACCTGTTGAGTCAGCCTCCTCTGTGGCTGGCCCAGTGGGTATGGCCAGAGTACTGGGGTCCTCCTGTCCTTTCTCCCCTGCTTGGGGTTGTGACCCTCTGGGTCCTCCTTGGCTCCCCCAGCCTCCTTCAGCCTTGGAACTGACCTCCCTGAGCTTTAACTGCTACATCCAATCTACCGGGAGCCTCACAAGGGCTGGGCTGGCCATAACACTCTCCTGGGTCCCCTGCCCAGCACAGGGTGGCTCGATGCTGGGAAGGCTTCCCGGGAGTCGTCGGAACCACAGTCATGGAGAACAGGCTCCTCAGTCCCTCTCCAGGGCTGCTCCAGCTGCTGAGAGCCAGTGTGGAGCACAGTGACAACACCAGAGCAGGCAGCGGAAAAAGGAAGGTGCCATCTTTCACTGTCACTCTGATGGGGGAAGCCCTGGCAGAGGAGCCAGAGGGAGCCCACTAGGCCCTGGCCCTGTGCTGTTTCCTCTGCAGCTGGGATTATAAGTTCGTGCCACCCCGCCCGGCTAATTTTGTGTTTTTAATACAGCTCCATTGTTCTCTAACAGCCCTGTGAGGGAGGAATGATCACCCTCCCTTTTACAGAAAGACATTTAGGGCACAGAGAGAGATTATATAATTTGCCCAAAGACACAAAGCTCTGAAAATACCAGTGCTCATCTCATGATCTTGTGCACAGCACTTCCTATCATTTTCTTCCACCCTTGTGTGAGAAATCTTTCAAAAGGGTAATACTGAAATATGTTGGAAGCAGAGCCCATGTCTGTGGTTTGCTTACAGCTAACTTGTGGCAAAGCAAAATGTTTGAGGGGACAGGACAAATTAGTTCGGCAAAATATTATTGTTGAAGTTGGATGATGAGGGCAGAGGAGTGCATGGTTACCATTCTTCACTTCTGCATCTGTGAGATGTTTCACAATAAAGTTCTGTAACACTTAATTAATGCTCCTGTACCTGATTTGGGGAACCATCTCTTCTCCTTATAGCCCACATTTACTGAGGGCTGAAGCAAGAATGCACCTGACTTCAGGGACTGCTCGCTGCAAAGCTGCGGTGGGAACAGTTATCCTGTTTTACCAATACGGAAGCTGGCTCAGCAGGGAAAAGCATCTTGTCTGAGGTCACACAGCTGTGGTTTCTGAGTCTGGATCTGGGCGGGCTCAGGCTGGGTCCAGGGCTCTTCCATGCCAAACCATTCTGCGCTAGGAGGGGAAGACCCCACAGCCCACGGCAGCACCCAGTGAGGAGAGGCAGTGTCCAGAGAAAGTCATCTTCGGAGTGCATGCTTTTTTGTGGAAGGGCAACTTGAGGACGCCAGAGACAGGGAGCACCCCTGGCCAGGGCCTGGGTTGGGACTGAGGAACTCCCATTCCAGTCCACGCTACACTGTCTGGTGACAGACCTGTGGGTTCTCCAGGTGGACAGGAGCTAATGGTTTCCCATGGAGAACCAGGCCAGGGCTTAACTCCAGCCCCACCACCAAGGCATGGGTCCAACATCAGGCAGGTCACATCCTGCCTGGTCATATGAAAAACCTCACTGCTGACCCTTGGAGATCAAAGGGAACAAATCAGGAGACCGGGGTCTCACCCCCTTGCATATCATCCACCCATCACCCACCATCCCCACACTCACCTCTTCTCCAGCCACCTTTATACAGTGACCCACCCCAGATCCATCAATTCACTCTACCCTTCCTTCCTTCTAACATGTGCCCACTCACTCATTTATTGTCCACTCACACATCCATTCACTAACCCATCCAGCCACCATTCACTTTCACTCATCCATCCCCATCCACCTGTCCCCATCTCTTCACCTAACTGCTATCACCTACCTCTCTCTTATATGGTGACCCCTGAAGCCCCCATCAGAACCATCAGTTCACTATCTACCCTTGCTACGTCCTTTCTAACACTCACTCCCTTACACATCCACCTTCCCACCCACCCACCCTCCTCTCCATCTATTCAAACATGTGCCCACCCACTCACGCACCTTCCCCCCCATCTGTTAAACCATCCATCCACCCACCCACCCACCTTCCCTTCCATCTATTCAACCACCTACCCACCCACTGAATCACCTTCCCCTTCATCTATTTAACCATCCATCCACTCAACCCACCTTCCCCTCCATCTATTCAAACATCCACCCACCCACTCATCCACCTTCTCCTCCATCTATTGATCCACCCACCCACCTTCCCCTCCATCTATTCAAACATGAGCCCACCTACCCACCCACCTTCCCCTCCATCTATTCAAACATGTGCCCACCCACTCACCCACCTTCCCCTCCATCTATTCAACCACCTACCCACCCACTGAATCACCTTTCCCTTCATCTATTTAACCATCCATCCACTCACCCACCTTCCCCTCCATCTGTTAAACCATCCATCCACCCACTCACCCACCTTCCCCTCCATCTATTCAAACATCCACCCACCCACTCATCCACCTTCCCCTCCATCTATTGATCCACCCACCCACCTTCCCCTCCATCTATTCAACCACCCACCCACCCACCCACCCACCTTCCCCTCCATCTATTCAAACATCCACCCACCCACCCATCCACCTTTCCCTCCATCTATTAAATCATCCACCCACCCATCCACCTTCCCCTCCATCTATTCAACCATCTGCCCCCCAACCTGTCCACACTTCCTGCATTTCTCTCTTCTTTCTATTAATCTTTCCACTCACCCCATGCATCCATCCACCTGCCTATCCAATAACAAAATCACCTGTTCTCTCCCACATTCATCTGTAACAGTAGCCAAGTGTCTTCCCAGCCAATCATCCAGCACCCTATCCCCTGCTTCCACTCTCCCCTCCCCCACTCATCCAATCTTCAACTGTTCCCTGGCCCTGCTTTGTGCTGCATCCTAAGCCCAGTGTCACAATCTCGAGATGGATCAGGGGATTCAGAGGAGGAAGAGGAGGGGATGAGGAGGAGAATGGAGGAGGGGGGAAGTGAGGGGAGGAGGAAGTGGAAACACTCTCATCTCACTGAGCCTCAGAACTTGCCTGCTCAGTTCTGAGTCACTTGCCTGGTGTGTGAAGTGGCCCTGATCAGTGCTTTCCTCAGGGCCTGAGATGTCTGTGTGGCCGTGGGTGTTTGGGTTCCTGTTGCCCAGCCTGTCTTGGCAGTTTTCCCTTGTCTCACACATAGCTCTTCTGCCATGTCCAGACCCATTCTGTGGCATGTCACCACCTACCAGCTGGTTCGGTTTCCTTCCAGGGCAACCAACACGCACCCCTGCTCATGTTTCCCCTTTCCAGGTAATACTACATCAGTGCTGCCCACAGCAGCACTCCAGGATGCTGATAAACTTGCCCCTTCTAAACACACCAGGAGACATCCACCTCTGCAATCCTGGGAGATAAAGATTTTTGTGCTCTCTTCGCCCAAAAGGGAAGTGAGGCTTGGAGACCCTTCAGTGCTCTCCACGGAGTAATACAGCTTGGAGAGCAAAGTGGGCACGGCCAAGGCCCAGGACAGGGTTCTGCCAGCACCATCTAGTAGGTCAGAGGCCAACAGCCTGGCCTCCTGTCCCCAGTAATCCATGAATGGGTCTTTCCTCATCCAGCATTTGATACCATCGGTGAGAGCAGTCAGGGAGAGGTCGTGAGACTCCGCATTCCCTCCCAGCTCGGCAGTGCCTGATTCCTTGATGGGTCAGAGAAGGGCTGGATTTAGAGGGGCCGTGATGTGCAGGGTGGGGAGATGAGGGCCCTGGGGTGGGGGACAGGAACAGGTACAGGCCTGGGACAGGAGGGGCCCAAAGGGTGACAAGACCCCTGCCTGGCTGCCCACCTCGTCACAGGGGGCGATGCGGCCCACCACGTCCTTCAGGTGCCCGATGGTCGATTCCTCCTGGAAGTCCCTTGGGAAGGTCTCAGTCCACTCGGCCAACAGCTGCAGCAGTTTGGGGCCGAACTTCCGGACCCGGGCCTGCAAGCAAGCAAGGGGCACCACGCTGGTCAGGGGTGTTGGGCGGGCATGTGGGCCTCACTTCGTGTCCTTGCTGGTCTGACTGCCTGGGCAGGCAGAACCTTGTGCTCTCTCTGTGCCAGGGACGGGGGCGGGGGTGGTGCAATCCTGCCCTGTGCCTATGGGGAGTGGAGGGAGGATGGACACATTTTTGGGCGGGGCTATCTCTTGCTGCTGCCTTTCTGCGGTGATGTCTCCATCTCCCTGGGGACCCTCTCGGTGCCCGGGGGTCTCAGGAGCAGCGGCCCCTGCTCCAGGGGTGGGTTCAGGTCTGTGCTGACCAATCAGAGCACGGCTTACTCCGTCGTGCACAGTGATTGGCTCACAGATGGGCACGTGACCGAGGCTACGCCAATGATAAGACTCACTGGATCTGCACGGAAGCGGGATTGAGGCTTCCACGTGACTGGAAAGGGCGGAAAGGGTGGTATGTGAGCCTGGTGCAGTGGAGGTGGCAGGGCACCACACCAGCCAGCCCGAGGGGGGCCAGCCCGGGGAAATGGCAGCAGAGGGCGGGAGGGAGACAGGCCACGGTGCAATGCTGTGGTTTACGGTCCGAGCCAGCAGTCCCTGAGATCGGGCAGGTTTACGAGCCAGCTAAGTTCCTTTGGTTTTGGCGGGTTGAAATTGGGTTTCTCTTGCTAGCCGTAGAGCCCGACCGATGTATGTGTAATAGATGCAGCCCTAAGGATTTGGCTAGGACTGGAAAGATGGAGCGGATGTGCTGGAGGAAGGAAACCGAGCAGAGGCAGCAGGTCCTTTCCGGCCACAGATGGCAGGGGTCCTACTGACCAGGCTCTGGATACTCAAGTCTGGGCTTAATGTAAGCTCAAGGGCTCCTGTAGGGCACCGGAAAAACTGCATGAAGGTGAAAGGTCCTGTTCTGCTCCTTCTGGCTCTGGGCCTCAGACAAGGTGGAAATACTCTTTAGCCACCTTGGCAGGAAAACAGGGACAATCATTACCTCCCCTAGAGGCTGATGACTTGAGGGCACTCTGAGGCCCCCTGGCCTGCCCTGCACCTCACCTTGTCCAGCACCGGCTTGTCCAGCTGCTGCTGTTCGATGCACAGGTGGCAGACTCGGGCCAGGAGCTCCCGGGGCTCGATGAAGAGACGAGAACTCAGCAGGAAGGTGAAGATGTAGGCTTTCTGGGGGGACACACAAGAGAGCACAGGCTCAGGAGGGGACTGGGAGGGGCATGCCTCCCAGCCGCCCTACACCCTGGCCCAAGGCCACTCCCAGCCCTGTTGCCTCCCATGCCTGGTGGAGGAGAGCCCACTCCCTGCCCACTGGGTAGGTTACCCACCTCGGGGTAGTAGTCAGCTGTGGGCACCAGATGCTGGATCAGTGTTTCCAGGGAGGCTGAGGATGGAGCTCCATCCAGGAGGGGCTGCCCAGCCTGTTCGACATCTGTGGGCTCGGTGGGGGGTGGGCTGAGGCTGCCTGGGGTGACCATGTCGGAGGCACTCAGCGTCTGTGGCATGCTTGCCTGCAATGGCAAGGAGCAGTGGGGACCTGAGTGGGGGCACACCTGAGTTGGGGGTGCAGCTGGTCCCAGACTCCCCCAACCACCACTTCGTGTCAGCTTGAATCCAGTGGTCATTTCTGGGAGTGCTGCCATGTACCCACTTCCTCACAGCACAGCCTCCATTCTTCTTCCTCAAACAGACTCTCAACTCTCCTGCAAAACCCATCTCTTCTCTACTCTGGGGTCCCCACTCAGGGGCAGACCTCCTCTAGATTCCGCCCCCGCCACCCCTCCGCAAAGGTTGTTTTTCACAAGCCTGGATAATCAGCCTAATCCCCGTTTCTGGTCACAGGGATTGATTCAGGGATTGGTCTGATCCAAATTGGGGGTCCTCAACTGCAATCCCAGAACTTTTGTGGCACTTGGAATCTTTCTTTCCCCCTGGAGTCCTTGAGCTGGTGGAATGTATGCTGAGACTACTGGGGCCATTGTGGCACCATGAGGGGCCAGGAAAGTGGGTTCATTCCTGAGCACGGTGTCGGGAATCCTCGAATCCTGCTGTGTCTGAAGCTGCTCGGTGGACTTCTCCATTATATGTGCCCATTTAAGTTGGGGTTCTCTCAGGTACAGTCAAAACTGCTATCTTCCTTAACCTGGCATTCCGGGCTCTATGTGATGTGGACCATCTGACCTGTCCAGCCTTACCACCCTCAGAGGGCTGTCCCATGGGCATGTGGGTGTGGGAGGTGCTGGGACTGGGTTGCAGCGGGGGAGGGCTCAGGCACTGGTGTGGACAGCAGCCCAGACAGTCCTGGCCATAGCGACAGACACAGCTTATTTTTGCCTCTCTGGCAATGCTGTAAGTGATCAATTCTCAGCCGAGGAAACTAAAATTTCACAAAACCACCTCCTGTCTGTCCCAGGGGGAGGCCGCTGTGCAGATGGGCATACAGGAAGCTGCAGATGCTCAGCGGGAGGAGGCCAGCTGTGGGATAGGCCAGCTGCAGGGTGCGTGCTGCTCTGCCTCCTGCCCGGGGCCCGGCAGCTCAGCCCGATTCCACAAGACAGAAAACCGGCGAGTCTGGGAGGTCTGCTCTCTCCTGCCGGACACCTGGCGCTGTTCATCCCCAGATCCCAGCCCAGTTTTCTTGACGAGCCAGTGGCAGGGGTGGAGGTGGCTTTGGGAACCTCTGCAGGATGGTGGGAGGTGCCACGCAGGGGCCTTTTTGAAGGAGGCCAGGAGGGTACCACTTTAAGAGACAGCCAGGAGGCTCCCAGGGGACCTGGGGCCTAGCCTGGGACCAGGTGCTGGGCACATGGGAGGCGGGGCCAGTGTTCAGATCCAGCTCTGCTCTGGAGTGACTAACTTATGCTCGAGCCAGGGGTGGTGATTGTTGCTGAACTGTTGGGACCCACAGGGATGCCCAGAGAGGGGCTGGCATGCCAGTGGCCCTCTGACTTCCAACCACCCATCGTGTCACCAGTGGGGTCCAGGTGTGGGTCTCAATGAATGGGCTTATCCTTGTGCTGCAGCCTTCAGTTTTCTCCTGCTGTTGCCAAGACTCATCCATTCATGTGTGTATGCATGTAGCGACTCCTGGCTCCGTTCCAGGCAATGGGGACAAAGCCCGACCTCAGGGAGCTGGAAGGGGAGGCAGAGCTGTGTAGACTGCCCCATTGGAGGCGTGTCAGTGTGGGAAAGGGGGTGACCACTCTCTATGCTCACTGTGGTGGATGTCCTGGGAGACCCCCTAAGAGAAGGTGGAGTCAGAGCTGCTGCCACCAGGGGGGTGCCTCCACCACTCCCACCCCTCCTTGCAGGCATGTTCATCCAGACAGGGCAGGTGCCCGCCTCTGGCCTCTGCATGAGAACAGCTGAGGGCACAGAGAACACTGCTTCTCCTTCACCCGCCAGGGACAGCTAGTTCCTCCTCTCTCCAGCAGGAGCTCCAGCCTGCCTGGAATGAGTTGGGTGAGGGTGGCTGCATTGAGGGCAGAGGGCAGGAAGGAGTCTACAGACAGACGTGCCAGACAGATGGACCAGCAGGTGCCGAGGCTCGGTGGAGCTGGGGCAGCGTGGTGTGATCACGGGAGTATATGCTGAGGTGTCAGGGGCCAGGCAGTGGCTCCTAGAAGGGTAGTGGGGAGTGACTGAGTTGGGGTCCTTGCATGCAAAAACAGCCATGCAATGAGGGCCCCTCACTCCACCCATAAGTGACTGCTTTTATGATGTCCTTGTTTTTCTATAGTTTCTTTATGCAAGGACAAAGAAATGTAAATACATAGCCCCTTTTCTGTCTGGATTACACCGAAAGGTAGCATATTGTCCACACTCTCCTCCGCTGGGCTGTTTTCACTAACAATGCATTTTGAGGACCTTTCCATGGCAGGGCAGGGCTGCCTCATTCACTTTCATAAAAATCACCTCACAGTATTCCATTATGTGGATGTACAGAAATAATTTTTAAAAACCAATGGTGAAGCAGACCAGTGTCCATTAGTGAAGAATGGCTGGAGAAAACGTGGCCTCTCTGCAGAGCGGGATGGGAGCCAGCCTTAGAGAGGAAGGAGATCCTGAGCCTGCGGGAACGTGGATGAATCTGAGGACATCGTGCTAAGTGAAATAACCCCGACACAGAAGGACAAACACCGAAATCACTCCACTTGTGGAGGCACCTCATGTCGAATTCACAGAGGCAGACAGTGGAAAGGTGAGTGCCAGGGGCTGGGCTGTGGGACACCAGAACGGTGCGTCAGTATTGAGTGGGCACAGTCTCACGTTGGGAAGAAGAAAAGATTTCTGGAGAGGGATGGAGGTGACAGTTCCACCATGATATGAAGGTACTTAATGCCACTGAAGTGTACTTAAAAAGGGTCAAAATGATATATTTTATGTATATTTTATCACATTTTTTAAAAAGGCAGTGATGATGGGACAATTGTTTATTGCTACAATATCCCTCGAAGGTCTTTAAATCCTGCTAAGTCTCCCATCTGTGTTTTTGTGCACATGGCCTGAATGGCGCAGGTGATGAAGGGGCTGGGAGTCTTGGGAGCTGCATAGATGGGCTCTCGACATGAGGGGCTCAGCACGGGTGGGGAGCGCCCTGCCTGTACCCCGTAGAGAGACCGTTCCATTTCTCCCTCTGTCTGCCTCGTTGGGACTTGTGGCTTGGTGTGTGTGAACTGGACGTGCACGTGAGGCTCCTGTGGGGTTCTGCTTCCTCCCCATGAAATGAAAGGGACTTAATTAAATGTCCAGTGCTGGCAGGCATGCAAGGGCAGCTTCTCACACCCCACTGGGGGGAGAGTGGTGTGTGTCGTCAGGGTCCCTTTAATTGTACCAAGATTTGGCTCAATGTGCCAAGAGCCTTATATTCTATAGATTCCTTCCATCCTAATCAAAGCCTTGGAAATGTATCCTAAGAAAATAAAGGGGAGAAGCTGTGGAAAGAAAGAAAGTCCATTGCTCCAGCATTAAATACCAGCAGTGAACACACTTTAGAGCAGCAGAGATGGTGAACAAAGGCAGAACAGACGAGGAGGTGACCACAGACCCGCTGGTGGAGTGGCTGTGGCCGCTGCGGTGATGGTTCTGAACACGCAGTCATAACACAGGCAACAGTGTGGCACAAGGAAGGGAAAACAGCAGGAGAGAAAGGTGCAGATGATGGAAATGACATTCATGTGGATGAAGACTGCAGTGGGGCCCTGAAAAAATGCATCACTGCTGTGTCCTCCCTGCACCCCGTTGTTTTATGTCATTCATGCAAGCTAAGTTCACCCATCAGATGAAGGCCCTGGGAACACCTGAACTGATTCCAGGCCTGGAATGCTGAGGTCGGAGGTGTGCGCCTGCCCTGTGCCGAGCGCACTGACAGGACACTGAGAGGAAATGCCTGGCTCTGGCACACAGCCCCAAGTGGCTAAGGCATGAGCTTCTGCCTTGGTTTCCCTCTCCATAGCTCCTGTCCCGCTGCCCAGCCCCACTCCCTCAGGCATCTCTCCTTGTATGTATCACCTGGAGATCGTGGGGTTCCTGCAGCAGTTCCAGGGGCAGCAGGTGAGGACCGTGTGGGGTCAGGTCTGCAGAGAGACAGGCAGACATGGGGCAGGACCTCATCAGCCCACCTTGCAGGGGGCACTTGATGCCTGCCAATGCCCAGCTGGGCATCCTTCCTTCTGGAGGACTCGCTGGCAGGCTCAGGGCCCTCCCTGCTCTAGGCCTCTGACACTGGCAAGGTTTCTGGGAGAGCATGGCCCGAGCCTAACCCTGTATGGGAGACGGGAAACGTGTGCAGGGACAGGGGTGTGACGTGGTGCATTTACAAGGAAGGTCAGACCTGGAGATGGATGTGTATTCCCCTACTATTCCAGTGGGTGCTGGAAAGAGGTAACAGTCACCTGTCCCCAGGCAGGTAAAATAGTGCCCAAGGGCCCTGCTGTTCCTCTTCAGTGTGAGGCTGGCAGAAGTCGGCTCAGCTGTGCCAATGAGAAACCACAGACTCTGCTGTGCTTTGGGAGCTGACGTGCTCAGACCTCCCCGGTGTAAGAGCCATCCAGGACTCCTGACTTATGTTTCATATTATAATTGTAAGGGTGGCAATTAATTCTATTTCTAAAAAAAGCCACTCTTGGGGCCACACAGTGAGTTAAAGCACAATTAGAAATGACATCTGTAGTGCTGCAGTGGTCAGTTTACAAACCCTACTCATGCTGGGGTCCCCACATCTCCGGCATGGGTGGCTGGCATTAAAAATCTGCAAAATGGAAATCCGTCAACTTTACAGAAGAAGAGCAGGTGGCTTGTCAGGGCGCGTCTTGGGGGCTGGAGAGATGTTCTCCCTGGGCCAGCTGTGGCAGAAGGGACAGAGGTAAAGAAGCCTCCCAAGCCAGGCGTGGTGGCTCACACCTGTAATCCTAGCACTTTGGGAGGCAGAGGTGGGTGGATCACCTGAGGTCAGGAGTTCAAGACCAGCCTGGCCATCATGGTGAAACCCCATTGTTTAAAAAAAAAAAAA